GTCACTCATTACTGGATCAGCTGCTGCATGAAACAGACACTGACGCTGTCAGAAGAGAGGGAGGAAAAAGAGAGGCTCCGTGTATTTTATTATTATATTATATAGAGTCGTTATTCATTTGTTTTAAAGCTCAATAAATAACAAAGAAGACCTTTGACCGGCACTTTTATAATGTTGTCGGAAGATTTAAACTTTAATACACGTTGACTGGCGAAAAACTCTGCCCGGTTCCCTCGGCCCCCACCGCGGAGAATAAACAGAAGGGCAACCATGACAACCATGCTTCTTTGCTGCTTTTGTGGAGGATGTTACAGGACCACGTACAGGCTCGGCATATGTACTGCAGCTTCTCCAGCGGTTGGAGCTAAACGGAGCTGTCTCGTGTGGACAGAAACTTTCCGGTGTCTATTGCGTGTGGACGGAAGCCTTTTTTGCGTTTGCGTATGCGTTTTACCGTTATCGTCCTCGTGTGGCCGGGGCCTAAGGGTGCGTTCACACCTGCCTTGTATAGTCCGGTTGAATCAAACCCTGGTGCGTTTAGCAGCTTGGTGCGGTTAATTTGGGTCGTTGTGAACACAATCCGAGACCTCTTAAGTGTACTAAACAATCAGACTCTGGTCCACTAACATAGGTGGTCTCGGAACGCTTGCTTGCGAACTCTGGAGCGGTTCATTGCTGGTGTGAACGCAGTCCGCACCAAAACATAGGATGCGTAGTATTTACGTGTCACAAGAACGCGGATATCTTCAAAATCTTTAGCGAAAGAGTCTTTCAAGACATCCGCGGTTGTTTAGTTAAAGAGTGAAGCAGAATTAAGTGTTGAACAGTGTCGTGTAAAGTAAAAATTCTCCGTCAACTACATAAAAGTAAGAACACCTGTCGTCTGTGAAACCTCCTCCTTACTGCAGAACGTCTCTCATTATATGTGTTATAATGTTTTAACGGACGTTGTCTGATTATATAATCATATGCGCGGGCCGCTAGTGTCTGTTGATCTCCAGATTAACAGCATGAGAATAACCTGCCGAAAGTGCCGATGCTCCATGGCGGAGGCTCCGGTAGAAATTGCCGGGATTTGCGTTTTTACCCCCTTAATGTCTGACCAATGGTTGAACAGCATTTCCGTGCACATGACTTGTGTTTAAAGTTTATAGTCCGTTTGAGTTTTGTGTGTGAACGCAAACCGAACCTTCTGAAAAATGAAACAATGTAACAAAAGCGGACTATTAGGTGTGAATGCACACTTAGATCTCTGTGATCTAAGGTTTGTTGGGTGTTTTTGAACAGAAAATGTTCTGTAAAGATGTTCCAAGAGGAATACATCTTCATCTCGTAATTTATTTGGCCTAAAATGGCCCCTATTTTGCTTTTTGGTGGTTCCCCTCACCTGTAGTGTGTTATACTGTAGGTGTTATCTAAATGGTCTGTAAGGCTAAACTCCCAAAGTCCCCCCCCCCCCCCCCTGCCTGAAACCTTTGGATTCATTTTTGCATAACATAGTGACATCACTATGTAACACATGCTCTTCTTTCGGCTAGCATGCCAACACATTGTACGTGATAGGCTAAGGGGCGGGGCATCTCCAAGTGGTTGACCAATCACAACAGAGCCGGCCAGCTAACTAATCAGAGCAAACTGGGCTCTGGTTTCAGACAGAGGGTGAAAAGAGGTGCTGCAGCACAGGCAGTATGAGGAAAATAAAGAGCTTTTTGAAAGTTAAAGCATGGAAACATGTCACATTACAGGCACACAATACAAATATAAACCTGAAAATAAGCATAATATAATATGTCTCCTTTAATATCTTATTCATACAGAAAATCTGACATCAGACAGCAGTTTTATATTTTTAAGCACAGACTGAAATAATCAGAAATTAAGAAGGATCTTTCAGCACAGCAACATTCTCCCTCATACATCTTGGTATTTATTTCACATTTCCTGAAAATGTTAGAGATGCATTTTGCATTTGTTTCATCGGGTTATCGATTAGGACCACAAATCACAGAGAACTCATGGGAGTTATGTAATAAAAAGCTGCTCATGCATTATTGTGTTGAAACAATTCGATTCACACTGTACTCGGATACAATAAAATATGGAAAGCATGAATATGGAGAGTCAACACACACACACACGCACACACACGCACACACACGCACACACACACTTCAGGGAATCTCTGCAGTGCTTAGTGGTTAGTTTTCCGTGGTCACCCCCTCTTAGTTTCCCTCTCTCCTTCTGTCCCTCTTCCTGTCTGTCTTTTCTCATAAGTGCTATTTCCATCCATCCATCAAGCACATTTCAAATGGACTTTCACAACCCAACTAAAAATAAACTGAATAAAGTGTGTTTCTACCAGCCGACATAAGGTGATTAAATTAGCATTCTGAATACGGGAAAACAGCCATTAAAGACATAAAATATGTATAAGTGAGTTTTTAGCGCCAAACAAAATATGGACATTATCCTTTTTTTGTTATGTTTTACAACTAGTGCAGACTAGGGTTGGGTTACAACCTGTTTCATTTCGGACTCGTCCCTTGTAGGCAAAATATCTATTTGCTAAGCTTTAAGCCTAACGTTAGCTTATGACTTTTTTTTCTAAACAAAACATGAAAAGTAAATGTGTGCTTGCCAAATATAAGAAAATCAATGCTTCTTTCGTTCAAGGGAAGCCTGGCTTCATCACTAAAGCACTCTATAAGCATCCATACTGTTCTTGTGACATAAAAACTTGACCTGCTACTAAGTAATATGGCAGCTTTTTAAAAAAGGCAAACAAAGGGATGTTCTTCAAGGTAAATGAACTCATATGTATAGTATACAGGGGAATCACTAAAGTATACAGGGGAATCGCTAACATCCCTTCTATATGAAGTGTGAACACAGCACTAGCCATCCTGTGGGGAAAAACTCTGCTAGTTGATGATGATGTGATATGCCAGAATGCATTACTGAAGTACAATGACCATGATGAGGGCCAACGCAGTCGTTGAAATTATATTTTTGTTCTTCTTATATAACCATGCTGGAGTTGGAGCCTGGAGTCATCTTAATTTAATTGAAATTCATGAATTATTACCCTCTCAAGACTCTCTGTCTGCTGGGGTTGGGTTAAGTGAAACAACAGGCTTCAATGATTTATGGACAGTGCGCAAGTTCAGCATCACAAAGCCACCATTAGGCTGTTTATTGGCAAAGAATGTGCATTATTGTTCAGGTTATGTTTGCAGACCTCTCCTTTTTTCTTTCTAATATCAGTACTTTAAGCTTCTAATCATAACAGTCTGGAACTGGGACCTCCTTTAAAGATGAGATGTGTCCACTTTCACATGTCATAGCCTACATGTGGCATCAATATGCTGTCTACACAATTGAACTCATAATAGACTTACAATTGCAGTATTTTTTCAGGGATACAACATATATTGCAGATCTTAATGGCTTCTTTGAGTATAAATCTTTCATAACTTTGGTTACTTTCAAATGTTAAGGCCTTAAGCTTAATTAAGCATAAATACATGAACTTAGGTTTGAACAGATATTGGAAAGAAGCCAGATTTGCCCATGATTTTGAACCCTAACCCTACTGCTTGGACCATGTATTAGTTATTTTAATAATCCATTCAGTGTCAAAGCAAACAATTGCTGGTTTTGTATTCCTGTAAATGTAATGTATTTGGTTAAAGATGGACAAAACAAGCCATTTATAGGTGTCCCATGGGCTATTTTAATTGATGTACAGATTTATTTATAATGAAATAACCTTAGCTGTGTCCTAGAATCCACTTTTCTGCAGGCTGTGTTGAAAATGTAAGCATCAAAACATTTCAAATGTCTGTGGAAATCTATTCCTCATTTCCATGCTGCCTTTCGTGCTCTGATCCTCCGTGTGTCCCCACGCTGAGAAGGAAGCTGTTCTGAAGGCACTGGCTTGGTGTTAATGTGCCGACTGTGATGAGCTGACATTTGCCGTTGACAGCTTTGTTCTGCATGAGTGTGCTGTGTCTGCTCACATCACACTACGGACAAACTTGCAATGATTTCTGGTAATGCAGTCACAGGGCCGCGCACCTCCCCCCTCAGGCATCACAAAGCTGTTTCCTCTCTGAAGTAGGCTAAACTTGGCGTACAAATAGAGAGGAGAACATTGCTGGGATAGAAAAAGCCTGCTATTGCTGCTGAAAATTGCTCCTGTTTCTGCCCATTTATGGTTTTACCTTGGCAAATCCCATCTTCAGCTTTGGGGTTTACGGGCTGGCTACTCTCCCTGGCCAGGTCCATCGATCTTTCCTCTAAGTCCGGTTTTACATCACTTCTTTCTTTTGTTACTCAAGCATCTACTCTTTTTTCCTCAACCTCTTATAAGCCTCCTTAAATGTCCTCTTAGGCTGTTTGAAGGTTAAAATCCTGCTCTGTTTGACAGCTTCACATATCATCTGTATCTGTTTGTTCGACGATGGTTGAATATTTAACAGCCAGATAAAAACATAGAGTATTTAAAAATGACATCATCATGTATCAACATTCCCCCGTCTACACAACTAAACCCACAGGAAGTGGTTTCCCCAGTCTGCTGTGGGAGGAGTTTACTTTTTTTATAATTTAATTAATTTGTTTTATTTATTATATTTCATTTATATATTTGAATATTATTTCACATTTCATTTGCAATGTTGAATGTTCAATAAAAGGTTCTGTTTGAAAGGATGTACTTGAATTATTAATTTATTATATATTATCATTATGTCAGTGGTCTAAAATGGTCTTAAAACGGTGCCGACAATATTATCGTTTATCGCAATAATTTCCAGGAAAATGTATCGTCCAACAAAATTAATTATCGGGACAGGCTTAGTGTCATCTTTAAGAAAAATAAATGACCATATATGAACATGACCCCACTGGTGGATGTTTTTCCTCCCAAAGCAGCACACAGCTGATTGCTGTTTTTCCCCTGATGCTGACGACTGTTTCCCTCTCTTTTTCTCTCTCAGTGAGCTTCATGGACTGCGGTAGAGGGAAGGTGTGGATGGAGGTTGGAGATTCGTCTGATTTCGGGGTGAGCGGGGACGGTGTTGTCTTTGCCCTGCGCCGACTCAGCCTGGTGGGGAATGAAGAATCTCTGGAGGTGATCTACGCAAGAGACCTGCAGTCCAAACAGGTGTGGAAGACCAGAGTGCACCTCCACCTTCATCCACAGGCCAACAGCACGGGACCTCTGCAGGTAAAACAGAAGCAGTGTTTGCATGTAGACCCTCTTTTAGATGTCACAAGGCCCAGAAATGTATTTTTATTTGACCCTGTTGAGCTTAAAAATGTTTTTTTCTAATCTCTTCTTAACCATCCAACATGATACATGTGTCCAACTTAACTGTTTGCTAAACAAATAGTTTCTTCTCCTAAAAGTGCTGTTTGTCTACTTATACATTTAACCATGAGGCAGACCTTATTCAGTCTTACACAATATTCGAGCAGCTGGGTGCATATCAACCAAAAGAAGCTTCACCAACTTTGCATTTAACCTTTGCAACACAAAAGGTCCGTACCAGATGATTTTCAAAGTCTGACAAGCCTTTCAGGGAGATGTACTATGGAGCAAAGTGAGGCCAAGTGGAGAGTACAGTGCAATAAGCAACTGGAGATAAAAGCATTAATACTTTTTCATCAAGTTATTAAAAAAAAGCCTATTTTTTCTTTAGATCAGGGGTGTCCAAACTTTTTTTTAGGCCTACATTCTGGTCACTAAATGATGCTGTTAATGCACTCAATGCAGGTTTCAACGGGACAGGAATATTTAACGATATACTTTTGCAACATATATTCTGGTCCAAGTATATAAGATATAAGTCCCTGCAGTGTATAAAAAGTTCTTAATAGATGTAGAAATACCTGATGAAGTATCTTGATGTCGGATGTAACCCACACAAACTTATTTAGTCATTCATGAAGCTTGCATATAGGCTATCAATACACAGTATCATATTCAATGGAGAACACTGCTCATCCAATGCTTGTTTTCCTCTTTCACTGTGTCTCAGTGAATATACAGCACATACAGATCTAATCATTAACACATGGTACCTGAATCACAGTGTGGGGATGTGTGAAGCACAATGAGCGCTATGGGCCTCAGTAATGTTGAATGAAGTGTACACATATAATAGCAGCGCTCCAGCTCAGCAGGCGTCGGAGTTTAGCCAAGTGCTGATTGCAGAGACAAAGTGAGTCAAACAGCCATCTGTTGGTTTGTTTCATGTACCACAGCGATAATAAGGCCCTCTGCATGCATGTAGACCAGACACTTGTCTTGATTGGCTGTTCTTCTAAACAAAGCCCAGAAATAGCCGGCTGCCATACGCTTTAGCTGCTATCAGGGAGGAAGAGAATCAGCTGTCAACAATCCTTTATGAGGAGAACTCACAGAGAGCAGCCATGGCAGTCAGCAAGCTCAAGATGTCAGTCAATTTAGTATATGCCTGACAGATTAAATCAGAATACAACAATTTAGTTATATCAAGTTTTACATCTCCGTCCTCTACATCTAAATTCTTTGTTCTCAAATATGTAATTCCCCAATATGTATTAACTTCAACTGCAGTGGAAAAAGGCTTTTATTATAAACGTAATACAACGGCCTTTGCCTCTTATTCCCCCTTTTGATAGGGTGAAGTATTATTACAAAAATTGTCACATTCTACTTCTCTTCCTGCTCTTTCTCCATTTACCGGAGTTATTGTTTTCATTCAGCATATAGGACTTTGCCATTTTTCAATTACTGTTATGATATTCTCTTTGTAAAGTCTTCCAACGTCTTCCACTTTCCTGGAAGGCTTTTCATTTGAAATAGTGTTGCATTACTTTGACTCTAGCCCAACGAAAATCAGGAAAAAAATGATCATTTGAAAGAATTGCAATGATTTACCCAGAAGCTCCAAGGAACTGTAAGGAACACTGAATGTGACAGATAAAACTGAAGATGCAGATCAAATCACTTACTTTGAGACAAGACTGTCATTAATAACCTACTCTTTTATTCTCGTGCAGTTCCTAGTCCGATCATTCTTGTTCACTGTAGATAAAACTATAATGAATATAATTCAATCACAAAGAAATATAAACTCCTTTACTCTTTGAACTGCACTGTTTCTTCTCTACTTCTCTTGTTTTTTTTTTTGTTGGAGTTAGTAATTGACTTGATAACCTCGCTCTTACGTAATGACATTTTTTTTAATCTTCTTTTGTTTTTGTAGGTTTTACAATGTAATACATAAGCAGCAGGTAATCTTTGGGCTGTGGGGCCATGAGAAGCTTTTCTTTGACTTATTATCCACTGTAGATCCTGCAGTGTAGCTACACACACACACACAAACACACACACATGCACGCACACACACGTGCACACACACTGACAGGTGGTGGTCGTTTATCAGACAAACTATAATGAGAGCATTAATCCAAGCTACTGGAACGAGGTCAGAAATACCCTGAGTCACCAAGCCTCCCCTGAAGCTCAGCTGTGTGTGTATGTGTGTCAATGTGTGTGTGCAGCCCAGTACACAACACTTGTTTACTGTCTCTGCAGGTAAAGCTTGATGATGCAACACTGACTCAGCGGGTACCAGAGATCTTGTTTCCATGGCGCAGCATGGTTGTCAGGGGTGATGGCACTCTGAGGCGGGTGAAGAGGGACTGGGTCATTCCGCCTATCAACGTTGCCGAAAACTCACGAGGACAGTTCCCTGAGGACCTCGTCAGAGTAAGACATACGCGTATACACACACACACACACTTGCACACACAAAGAAGAAGGCCTGTCTAACCGTAGCAGTGAGGACTCTTCGCTGACGAGCCCTGTAGCAAGGAAACACGAAAACAACAGTTACATAGCACATTCATATTAAAGGAAATACTATGAGGTTAACAAACAAGCAGCAAACATTAAACACAGAGACACATACACCTGTAGTTAAACAATCAAATGCAATATAAATAGACAACCGCAACAATATAAAGCTAATTAAATGCACGGTAACCAAGGGATGTTGTTAGTCTGTTTTTGAATGTTAACAGCGAGGCGGATCTAAGCTGGACTGACACTATTTCAGCAGCTAGGAGCATAGAAACAAAAATAAGCTTCACTAACTTTGCATTTAACCCGTGCAACACAAAAGGCCCGTGCCTGATGACCTTCAAAGTCTGACTTCAGGGATGTGCTATGGAACAATGCAAGGCACAGTAGAGAAGACAATGCAATAATCAACTGGAGATAAAAGCATAGACTAACTTTCATCCAGCTGGGACAAAAGCCTCTTCATTTAGATGCATTATAAGGCCTACAAAGTAAGATCATTATCAGCTGCTTTACATGCACCTTATGGACGATTAACAACATATATTTGATAATTTTGCTGTTTTTTATGCTGTTAATGCAGTCAATTCTGGCTTCAATGAGATAGGAATTATGATTAATTAATTAATAATAATACTTTTTGGGGGAAATTACGAAGATAAAGCAGAGGACCCAGAATTGAGCCCTGGAGGATTCCTTTTTAAATTATGTTTAATTCTTAAGTTATATAGTATATAAAAGCTGTAAAAATACCTGATGTTGTATCTTTAGGTCGAATATAACACAAGCAAGCCCTGACCCAGAGAAGCATCTCGATTCTCAGACCTTTCTTTGTGAAAGCGACAGCAGCACCAGAAATGTTTTCTTTCTTCTCTTACTTGCTTCCAGCCATGTAGTTGGGACTGATACATTACACATGAAATACCTTTGTGATATTTGAGAAAGGAATCTCATTGTGGTCCTAGGCGAGCGGCATATGTAACAAAATATGCAACCATCTGTCCAAGATTTTGACTGCATGTCACAGCGTTTATTTGGCAAATAGAGCTGGCTCAGGTGTCATCACCTGACCGCAGTCTGGAACTTAAGATTCTGCTGAAAGCTCCTAAAGCTAGTTAGTAAGGTTTTGGGCCATTTTTAAGCCTTCATCAGAGACAGAGAGAGATGGCTGTAAATGAGGGAGTGACATATACAACAATGGTCTCCGATGTTGAGTTATGGTTAACTTCTAAGTTAAAAGGGTGCCCAAATAGATCAGACTCTTCAGTTTACATTATGTTAAATAAACTTCACCAAAAGCTAAGTAAACTTACTCACATCAGTTGTACTATCTCCTTTGAAGCTGTCTCATCTGCAAACACTTTATTTTGGGTTCTACGGCTAAAAGCTAGCTTGAGCTAAGGCTAACACTCCATTAAGATTAAGGCCCAATCCCAAACCACTCCCTCGACCCTACCCCTCCGTGATGGAGTGAACTCCGTCTGTAGCCACACTCACAGCTCAACGAGGCTCCCTCCTGTCAGATGGAGGGAGTAAATACAGCAGCAAGCTTTTGGGACGGCCTCCCCTCTCTCCGGCAGAAACAGGAAATGCCGTAACTGTATGTAACAACGGTTTCAAATCAGCATCTCTTAGACAAAAAGTTTAAATGAATAACTCAAATAAAACTCCAAACATCTTTCATTGTGTTACTTTTTTGTAAAGCTCTTTTATGGCACATTTCCACTGCAGCGGGGTAGCCCCGTTTAAGCGTCCCTAAGCGTCCTCGCTCAGGCCTTGGGCTGCCTCGCTGGCCGTCCGAGGCCGTGGCGCATTTCTATTACAGTTTAGGACCTGGGGTAGCAACGCAGTGTAGGCGGGGCATCTGTGCAGAGACATCCTGGAAAACGTTCACATTTTGAGTTGTCCCGTCGAGCTCCCGCTGGATTTGATCATCCCCAATGAGATGTAGGAACGTCGTCACCTCCTCGGTCGACCACGGTGTGCTTTTCTTTGACGTTGCCATTTTTGTAGCTCCTCCGTTTACAAAAATGCTGTGTATAAAAAGGCTGCAAGCTTGCTTCTAGATATATATGCGACGCTAGGGATGATCTCGCGCGCGATCTTGTGACGATTCTCTCTGACCAATCAGCAGTCGAGAGTGTTGACGTCACTAGTTCAGCCCTGGCCCTGGTCTGATAGAACCACGATTTTAAGGGGCCGGAAAAAGAGGGGAAAAGTACCCGCTAGCCGGTACTAGACTGTATGGAAAGGCCACCAAAAACTGGCCTGGCCGCTTGAGGACGATTAAGGACGCTTAAACGGGGCTACCCGCTGCAGTGTAAATGCGCCATTAGTTTTAAACCTGATGTTTATAAGCTTCTTAGTTTTTGCAACAGTCTGTAAATATACACAACTTTATAATAAAATGCACACATTTACCTTTTTCTAGACTAAACACAGGTATGATCCTAAGTTAAAACATATGAGGCTATCATGAGGTTGTTAACATCGCAATTTATCAGTGGATGTTTGCTGGAACTACATGTTAACAGCTTCTTTCCTGATGGACACACACAGCGTTGAGACCGGTCAGGTAGAGACCGGTCTCAAGTCAGCACCGATGCAGACTCGCTGTTTGAGGGCTTGATAGCCCACTCCCCCTCCACACCGCTCCACACTCGTTGGTTTGGAACAGCCCTCAACATGGCGGACCCTCCGCATGAACGCGCAAACAGAGGGGTAGGGTGTAGGGGGCGGTTTGGGAATGGGCCTAAGTGTTGTCAGTGTCAGATTGATTTGTTATGAAAATACTAATTATAGATTTCAATTGATTTTTTATTGCATGAGATTTTATGGCACATTTTACTTAACACTTATAGCCTATCCTTTACATGTCACAAGTGTTGATAAGCTCATGGGACTAATTTGTGAGTGATCCTGTTACTATGAGTACAGTAGTATGTTGAGGAATGTCCACATAATATATTCTTCCCCATCCATTTCTATATAATCGTACAAATAACATTGCAGATTTTTTCGTGGATTAAATGGCGTTGCAGTAAAACCTGTATTTTTGTGTTTTGTAACCATGCTTGAGTTTATGCTGAGCGTTGTCTTTGCAGAACTGCCTACCTCTTCTTGGTTCTGATCATATGGACAGCGAGCAGGATATAAATGGACGCATCATAGTTTACTTTGACTTCAGCTCCAATCAGATTTTCTGTAGTTATGATGCAGCAGCCTCAAGCATTGGCTGAGTGTTGCTTTTACAATCCTAAAATCATACCGACATATGAGACACATCCAGGCCACAATCATAAAGTTTAGTTTCACTCGTGTATATTTGTATTCTTACCATTAAACAGGCAGTCATTCTAACTGGGAGGAAAATTCTCCCACACAACTCTGAGAGCAGTCAAAGCAGGGACTTTTACAATGACTGTACTATCTATTACTAACCACATCCATTGTTCCAACTCCACCCTGTGTAGGAAATTAATTGTAAATCCTCCCCTGCTCTTCTCCCGTTTGCCTGTGTTTCAGATTCGCTCAGACAGAGATAACAACAGGATGCTGCGTTACAGTGTGACGGGCCCCGGGGCCGACCAGCCTCCGACCGGCATCTTCATCATCAGCCCAATCTCAGGCGAGCTGTCTGTCACCAAGCCTCTGGACAGAGAGCACATCTCCAACTTCCATGTAAGACTTTTCACACACAGCTAAGGTCAACAGCAGGGAAACATTTAATATTACATTTGTACTAAAAGACACCTTCACTTTGTTCTTTTTTCAGTCGTTCTTTTTCTTCACCTTAAACAAAGAACACAAAGAACCATAGTCTTTGGTGGAGGGCAGAAAAACAGGAAAGAAGCTTGAATTTCAATTTTTGCAAAGCACATTGAGGAAAATAAATTTAAATATGTACTTGATGGCTAAACAATCAAATGTATCCTATGTCCTATACAGTAGGTGGTTCTAAAAATGATCTTGTTGGAAAAAACAGGGACTTTGGAGTCACGTAAGGGGCACAGCATTCTAGCTTCACACAACTGCTATAGTTTTTGACTTGAAAATGTCAACATTTAAGGAAATCACTTGTCATTAAGTTAAATGAAAAGATTGATACCATACATATTAGCTTGAGCCACAATGTTGTTAGCCTAGCATGGAACAAAGACTGAAAATAGCTAGCCTGGCCCAGTCCAAAGTAAAATACCCATCCCAAGACTTTCATTTAATTAGTTAGCTTGGTAGCTAGTAAGTTAGTTAGTTATTTAGTCATTTGGCTAGTTAGTTAGTTAGCATGCTAGCTAGATTTGTGTAAAAAGGAATTTGAATTTGGTTCAAATCAGCAAAAGCATGCAATAACACCAACTGTAACACTAATACAGACTATTTACTTTTTCGTATGATTTACTTTGTGCTTCACTTGATGTTAATCTGCTTGCAACACCACCCCACCCTCATTTTTATTTTCATCCTTGCTGTCACTCTATCTGGATTTATTCTCTCTCATGCACAGAGATGAAGAGGAAGTTCTTTAAAACCGACTTGTGGTGTTTGCTCACTATATCTAATATAGTCACACACACCTCTCAGAGCAGAGTCTAACCTTTTGATCTGGAGGAATGCACACACACAAGTCACACGGGGGGGTGGAAATCTGGAGTCGCAGCAGGGTGATTTGCATTTAAGCTGTCTGATGAATATTCATGTGATTGGATGTAGTTGTCAGAATTGGGAGCTGGGATTGGTGCATGTTTATTCATGAGGGAGCCTTTGGCTCACTGAGAGCCTCATACAGATGCTACGTAGGCTGTGAAGGAATGATTTAGCGAGGGTCCAAGGCCAATCAATAGCTTTATTCAGCAACTTTGGCCACCTATTGCTTTAAACATTAAAATTCCCATGTCATGGCCATTTCTACTGAGCATAATTCCATTGTTGAGGTCTACTCGAATAGATTTACATTGTTCAATTTTCCAAAATCACATTGGTTTTCTCAAACAGCATCTCTGTATAGTATGTGTATTCACTCTCTGTCCTACACGCCTTGTTGGAGCTCCTGACCCCCCTCCCTATGAGCCCACTGTGCTCTGATGAGTCAACCACCGTTACAGCTGAACATCCGTGTTTATGTGTTACAATGGCGTTTGTTAGCAACCAGAAAATGACACCAGTAATGACAAACATATGAGAATGCTGCGTGGGGTCTGGGTGCCGTGTTGGCGGGACGTTGCGGGGCTCACTGCTCCACCCTTTGAGGCTCGGAGCGGACAGTGTGAGTTGGATTACTGGTGTCTTTTCCTGGTTGCTGCGAGACACCGCAGAGCTCAGCCTGAGCGCACACACACACACACACAGCCTGAGCTGTGAGTGTGTGTGTGTGTGTGTACGGAGCTCCGCGTCTGAGAAAAGATAAGGATTGTTGTGTGTGTGTGTGTGTGTGTGTGTGTGTGTGTGTGTGTGTGTGTGTGTGTGTGTGTGTGGTGTGTGTGTGTGTGTGTGTGTGTGTGTGTGTGTGTGTGTGTGTGTGTGTGTGTGTGTGTGTGTGTGTGTGTGTGTGTGTGTGTGTGTGTGTGTGTGTGTGTGTGTGTGTGTGTGTGTGTGTGTGTGTGTGTGTGTGTGTGTGTGTGTGTGTGTGTGTGTGTGTGTGTGTGTGTGTGTGTGTGTGTGTGTGTGTGTGTGTGCAGATTGACCAATTGGTCCATTTGGACTTCGTTACGTCAATAGGACCCGAAATGGACAAATTAAAATCTCCAACGAGGCGTTCTGGGGCAGCAGAGACAGGTATTTTCTGTGTTAGAGTTTTACTCGCTACAGGGTGTACTTTGAGGGTTTTTGACTTTGCAGACTGTTTACATGCAGAAAAAGCTTCATAACACACAAGGGAACGGGTAATAACCGGAAAACCATGACATGGGACCTTTAAAATCATAGTCCTGCTGTTATCATTTGGAACATCCAACACAGTTATAAATAGATTATTGATTTTAATGCTACAGCTTCATTGAAATGAAACAAAAGATGATAGTGAATGTTCTTAACATGTTCTCTCTTCTCAAACTTTATAACGTTGATATCCAAATTCAAAATGTTAGTGCTGCACATGAAAATGTTCTGCATGTCAATTCATTTATTTTTAAATATTCATTCGACGTTTCAGATACAGATTAAACTACACTTATATACTACTAATAAGACTTCTGTTCAAAACATTTCTAATAACTCCAGTCTGTTCTAAAGTCCAAGAACATCATAATTTATGGAGAAAAGTATTTACAACTTGTTTTTATTTAACAAAATACTCTTATACTCTGTCTTTGAAAGACAAAATATAAACTGCATCCCAAAAAATGGTTTGCTCTCCAGCTATCATCACACAAAGCGAGGCACGCACTGCCGAGTTTTATTAATTGGAGGAAGTTTATTTATTGAGATAAAAGACAAACTCATTGAAACCCAATAATCACTTATTCAAATCAATGATTTTGTTTTGAGAATTTTTATTTAAGGTTGATGACGTCATAATACAATGACAGACATTCAAAGCTTTATTTCAAAAAGCTCAATAGAAGCTATAATCAAAATAAGACCTTTAGTAGTCCCGCGTAGTTTTCATTACTCTTTAGTTTTTTTCTTTTGCAGTAGTTTGAATTCATTTAATAATCCAATTTGTGTTGATTTAAAAGGCTTAAGATTTTCATTTCCAAAACTACACTGAAGCTATTGTGCATATGATCAATTAAGCTTTGGATTGATCACAATAAATAGAGCTTCCATACCAAACCTACTACATGAAAGGACTGCTTCTTATATAGTTCTATTTTCACCCACAATACTCAAATATTCTTTGCATTACTCTAAAATGTTAAAATATAAGTTTACCAGAGGACAACTCCTGCTTGATTGTATTGCATTTAACACCAGCAGGTCCAAATACTTTGCTTGATGAGCCAATACCTGCACAGTTACTGACATTCCCATAAGTAACTGTGCTGATTATGCTACATTCAGCAACACTATGGTAAACGTTACATATTTTCGTTAGCATTGTCAGCCTCGCAGTTGTGCTGGTTCTGTTAAGTACCGTATTTGTACTTATGTTATAGATCTTAATTGATGGAATCTTATCTTCATTCAAGTTCTATGTTTTTTTTATGTATGTGTGCGTACAGTTGCGAGCCCACGCTGTGGACCTGAATGGGAATCAGGTGGAGAACCCCATTGACATCGTCATTAACGTCATCGACCAGAACGACAACAGACCAGAGTTCACACACACCATCTTCAACGGCACCGTACCGGAGGGATCCAAGCCTGGTACACACACACACACACACACACACACACACACACACACACACACACACACACACACACACACACACACACACACACACACACACACACACACTCTCCCCCCTGATATATCTGTGTTAACTTGCTGCGTGTTTCCCTGCAGGATCTTTTGTGATGACAGTGACATCTGTGGACAAGGATGATCCAAAAACTGCCAATGGGATGCTGCGATATAAGATCCTCTCCCAGAATCCCCAGAGCCCCTCCACCAACATGTTCACCATTAACAACAAGACCGGTGACATCATCACTGTGGCAGCAGGCCTCGATCGGGAGGTGTGTGTGTGTGTGTTTTTTTTTGGGTGGAGCAGCTGCTTCTCAGCCTGAGTCTGTGTCCCTGCAGTGTAAACCCAGCTCGAGTTGTTGGTACATATTCTGGCATCAGCTGATCCTAAACTTCAATCTAATAAATGTTTACATGCTGACACACTTTGAAACATGTCAGCTGTGTATAGGATGTCCGCGGGGTCTTAAAAAGTATTAAAAGTTGATAAATCAATGTTGCGAAAATTAAGGCTATTAAAAAGTATTAAACGGCATTTTCCCAGGTATTACATTTTGTAGCTTGTTTTCAATAAGTATATCAATTGTCCAAAGAGGTTGTATTCTACAGTCTGCCTGAATGCAATCATTGCGTAGGTGTGTAGTGTGATTCTGTGTAGTTTATTTATGGCATCCCGTTGGATTTGACGTCATCTGAACAGGACATCGCACGCTCACTGCTTGATAGCGCGCGAAGGTCCGTTTACGCCGGTTGTTAAACATCGTTATGGGGAAATGCAAGTTTGCGTCCAAATGGTTGGAAGATAAGGAGGAAGGACAATCAATACTGTATAAAGTAAATGTTGTGCCAATGTAACCGGTTAAAACTTGAAGTGGCGATGAGGTCTTCAAATGTATGGAAAGGGTCTTAAAAAAGGTCTTAAAAGGTCTTACATTTGACTTCAAGATTCCCGCATATACCCTGATATATTCATCAAACATTGTACCCACAAGGAGTAATTTCCTCGTATTTTTGCTAAATACACTGAGTCAACTTACCATTGTTTGCTTGAGATGTCAACTACATGCCAAGGTCTTATTCTTCAGATAGAGTTTGATAGTTGTCATGGATATCAATTCGTTTTTGTCATGGTAGCTATTTTGGGTCTTTGGTAACACGACAGCAGGTGGACATTAATGGGTTTTGGTTGGCTCCAACAGTTAAGCTCAACATTTCATGCTTTTTAAAGTTAGGATTGTAACCAGACAGAGCTCAGAATGAAAGTAAGATAAAGGCCATGTCATGTAGCCAAACTTAACCTTACTAACAACCAGAGATGGAGTACTCGAGTCCTGGACTCGGACTCGAGTGCCGATTTTCGGGACTCGTGACTCGACTCGGACTCGCGCACTGATTGACGCGACTCGGACTTGGACTCGTGAATTCTCGTGCACAATGATTTGGACTCGGACTCGTGAATTCTCGCGTACGCTTACTTGGACTCGGACTCGTGCATTTTCCCCCCCACGATGACTCGGACTCGACTTGTACATTGACGCTCCGACTTTGACTCGGACTTGAGCAAGTTTTCTCTGGAGTCTGATGTCCCCTATCCTGTCGTGTGCACCTGTGAGGCGAGTTCACATACTGGGCCCCGCTATTCCAGTCTAAAGATGTCTAGAGACACACCCCGCATCGTGCTGTATGCTTTCACACATTCTGCTTCCACATTGGAAAAGAGCAGCGCAAAATGCTCGTTATGTGGTAACCATATTGAAGAGAAGGCTCCGTAACACATTACTCTAAGGATCGAGTTCAGACATATAGGCTGTCTTGAACACTATCATCAGAGTAACGTGATCTAATCAATAAATAAAGATTCATCCATAACACGAAAGCACATGGCTATTAACATGCAGAATGACTTAATTTTGCATGTTAAGTAGCCATGTGCTTTCTGGGGCTTAATCTTTATCAGTAAACCGATTTAACCGGTAAAAGTTCCTTCAAAATAAGAGTCCCGATCTTATTACTATCAAAATAAAAGTGCAAAACGAAAACTTTACCATAGGAACATATTGGCATGCAAATATAATCACTTAGCTCTAAAAGGTAACTCATTTTAAATATAGTTAGACATATTAAAGGTCATTTACAATAATAACAATAATAATATTAGTAATAAGCTTTATATTTGTAGGCCTATAGCACCTAAGAATTGTAGCCAAACTGGCTTCACAGCAGTTCAATAGACAGATGTAAAAGCAATGTAGAGGAGCAGCTACATTTCAACACATATATCCACGAAGACTTGGACTTGACTTGGACTCTTCTTAGGTGACTCGGACTTGGACTCGGACTCGAACACAGGTAATGATGACTGGCTCGACTCGGACACTCCTTGGGTGACTCGGACTTGGACTCGGACTCGAACACAGGTAATGATGACTTTGACTCGACTTGGACACTCCTTGGGTGACTCGGACTCGACTACGACTCTCCCTTGGTGACTCGGATTTGGACTTGGACTCGGACTCGAAGAGTGGTGACTCGAGATTGACTTGGACTCGTGAATTGGTGACTTGACTACAACACTGCTAACAACCATATGGATGAACATTGAGGAGCTTTTTTTGTTTAAAAAATAAAGTCAAAAAGAAACTGTCAACATAAGATGTAATTTCCCTTTATTATTGTTTAAGATATGTTCACTGAGGTCTTAAAGGTCCCATGTCATGGCCATTTCTACTGATCATAATTCCATTGTTGAGGTCTACTAAAATAGATTTATATTGTGCAATTTTCCAAACTCACATTGGTTTCTCATACAGCATCTCTGTAAAGTATGTGTATTCACCGGTATTCACTCTGTCCTAAACGGCTTGTTGGAGCTCCTGTAAGCTAAAGGTCCTGGTGTGTGAGGAGCTCCGCAGATTGGTCCAGTTTGGTTTCCGGGAACCGCATGACGTCATGCGGTTGCCGGAAGAAACAAATGGAAAAAGAGAAATCTCCAACGAGGCGTTCTGGGGCAGCATAGACAGGTATTTTCTGTGTTAGAGTTTTACTCGCTACAGGGTGTACTTTGAGGGTTTTTGATTCAGCAGACCGTTTACATGTATAAAAAGCTTCATAACACACAAGGGAACCGGAAAAGCATGACATGGGACCTTTAACATTAAATCTAAAACGTTCGATTTGTTACTCAAAAGTCTATGACTCATTGGTAGAGTATACAATTAAATAATAGGTTTCTTCAATTGTTAAAGGAGCTGTGCAGATCCTGTCATCAGCTATCTGAACGTTATTGTTAAGCAGTATAAAGCAATAATGGTGCTTTGGCAGAAAGAGATTCCACTATTGTCGAATATTTTTAATTTAATTTTTATTTTATTTAATATTTTTAATGTGCGCTATAATACTCAACATTTTTAATATATGTTACACTAAAAAAATAATATTATGATAAAGAAGGTAGAAAGAATCTGAGGTCCAGCTGTTATCTCTGTTTGTTTCCAGAAAGTCACCCAGTACACACTGATCATCCAGGCGACAGACATGGAGGGGAACCCCACCTACGGCCTGTCCAACACCGCCACCACTGTCATCAGGGTCACTGATGTCAACGACAACCCCCCCGAGTTCACCACAGACACAGTAGGTCCACGCACGGCATCAACACTGATATTCCCTGAAGCCCTCCAAGCTTTTATTAGCAGTGGCAGATGGCGGAAAGTCAAAAGCCAATGAAACGTCCAACGTGTTTAGCCTCCTCAGTAAAGGTGGAACAGAAAGAAGAAGAAAGTGTGAAACAAAAGCAGTTAGTTCTCTAATAAGACACTTTGGTCACATAACTTAAGGGTCATTCTACTAAGGGTTCAATGTATGTATTTCTGTCTGTCTTCCAGTTCTTTGGGGAAGTTCATGAGAACCGGGTGAATGTGATCGTAGCGAACCTGACGGTGACAGATAAGGACCAGCCTCACACCACAGCATGGGCTGCTGTGTACCGCATCATCGCCGGAGACCCCACCGGGCGCTTCTCCATCCCCACTGACCCCACCACCAACGAAGGCCTGCTCACTGTGGTCAAGGTGGGATTTAGTCTCCACACACACACTAACACACACATACCTGAATGAGCAAATACTGAGGAGTCACTGCTCTCTGTTGTATGTTGGCGGACTGAGGGAATTAAACCATCTCCTGTATTATTTTGTTGCTTTGGTTCACGTGCTGTTTGAAAATGCCTCTAAAACTGTGTCTCAATTCGGGAATTTCCTTAGTACAATACCATGTTGTGCACTGTGTTGTGCACTGTGAACAAATCTCACATGGCTAGTGTGCTGAAAGTGACAATCGCTCCTATTAGCTAGCTAGCCAAATCATTACAGACTTTTGAATTAACCCTATACCTTTCTTTGACACCAGTATAGTGGTATGTTACTTCAAAAGTGAAAAAAAACCTGCATCTATAACTCTTATTATATATTGCTGTCGTAGCTGGTGGCATAGCTTCCGTTACGTAGCCAAGAAGGCGGTTGTTAAGTGTGAGAATTGTCCAGCTTTGCATTTTGCCATATTTCGCCTTTGGATGCACTTATGCACTCAAAACAGCAAGTGTAAGCTGATTTTGAGAAGCATAATAAATATTTCACCCACAAAAATAACTGTTTGTGTATCAGTGATTCCAGAAAGACTTTTATTTTACTGGAACAGTCGTAATGAATTGAAGGGCCCCCTTCAGCAATAGCAGTACAATGAAAACCTCTGTTCTCAAACCCACACAACAATCGTGGATTATAATCTAGGCCCTTTAGGTGTATGAGAGTTTGTTAGAGGCTGTTTCAATAAAGGTTGGCAACCATTTACTTCAATTCATCAAGACTTTCCTTTTTTAAGTATGCAGGAAAACAATGTTTTCTTTAAGAATGAAATGACACAGGGTTAGCATCTGATATACACATGACTTTGAAAATGACCTTAAAGCTTTCAGTTGTGTTTGATGTGGTGGTACCAGTGGTTACTGGTGTTGTTTTATAACTACAATTGGAAAGACACCCACCACTGGGGGCTGTGTCATGACTGTCAGTGGATTCTCTGAATCACCAAGAACAACAATGGGCGTTCATGTTGACAGCACTGACAAAGTGTCACATTGTATTAAGAAAGGTTAAAGACAATCATTGAGTGTTTACCATCACACTGACAGAAGGCTGTTGCTCACAGTCAGGGTTTTGGAGATGTGCTGCCTCTCACTGGCCGCAGTATGAGCCTGTTAGCCTCAGCTCCACTTCCAAGTGGAGGTCTGCAAGTGTTATACTATTAATGGGAAACAGCAGTGGTAGTTATTGTATTGTTTGCAACAGCAGCAACTTCGTACAGTATGCTGATGTAGGAGAGTGAACAGTAAATATTAATCACATATCAGTGGGATCATTTCAATATGATAGGGGAGTCACAGATCCCCCCAGTAACAATGAACTCTACTATACGAACAAATAATAACTGAATGGAAAAAACGTTATAGTTATTTTTATCTTAACATTCAGGTTAAGTTGTCCTTGTAGGAAAAAATACTAAAATCCCCCTGCAGACTTTAAAATGAACCATGGAGTGGAGAGAAGTAATTGGGCGAAAGATGTGAGGATCAGATCATAGACAGTAATTGGTGCTAGTCCATGAATCAATAATTTATAGAAACCAATAAAAGGGACTTTTGAATTTGAAGGGAGTCTACAGGGAGTTGTCATCTCTATAGACTTACTGTACAACTAACTAAAGGTGAGCCCAGACCGAGTGATAATATCAGAAAGACATACAACTTTACAGTTTCCACCAGAGAGATCCACATTTAATTTTGCAGTTGATAGAAAATAGAAAAAATTCAAACTGAGAACAGAGTTGGCTTGTATAGAAATAAATGTCAGACGTTGATTTTATACTGATTTACCTGCAAGGCTTGAAAATATTGTTTTAAAATGGCCGTTAATGGAAATTAATTGTACACTCCAAGCTGGTCATTGTCATCACAGCTCATATGGGAAATTAAATGGAAAGTTAGTTTTCGATTTAGAAGAAATGTGCATTATTTGGAGTGTAAAAGTGAATTCTTGATCTTTTATATTGGTCAGTTTTCACCGCCTCAGGGACCACTAAAATGTATATTCATCTAATTTTTTTTACCCACTCATTTATGCTCCTAAAGTGAAAACTCAGAGTGCAACTGGTGACCTTGAGCAATCGAATAATTATAGTAAATAAGTTCATAGATAGAAGCACATTTGTATGATTTGAACAATGAAAATCTAAAACACTTGCAAGTATAACTGCAAGTACATAAGCATATTAATTCACACATTCATGCATTAAAACCAATGCACACACCAATACTTGACCTCCGTAGGAACTCTTAGCCTAAACTATGAGAATAAAACAATAGAGCAGTTATTGTGATTTGTGCTTCAACTTTCATGTCACTATCATCCAATCCTTCCTTTCTTCTGTCCAGCCTATCGACTTCGAGCTGACCCGCTCCTTCATGCTGACGGTGGAAGCAGAGAACGAGGTCCCGCTGGCCCGTGGCATGCACCTGCCTCGTCAGTCCACGGCAACCGTCTCCGTACGAATCCTGGACATCAACGAGAGTCCAGAGTTCAGCCCCAACCCGAAGTCCATCAAACTAGAGGAGGGTCTGCCTGCGGGGTCCCTGCTTACCACTTTCACAGCTCAAGACCCCGACCGCTTCCTGAGACAAACTATCCGGTAGGTCCACAGATGGAGGCTCTGACTTTAATGGCTTTCATTTGAGTTAGATAGTAAGTTATACAGGGTTCCAGCTGTGGGTCAAAATGTAATTATATTGAAGTAATGAGTCAAATTAAAAGGTGTAATTTAATTACATGTTTAATGCATTCATTTCATTTAACTATAGAAAGGTTCAGCAGGTCTAAGTAGAGTCCTGAATGGATCTTTCACTACCTTTTGATAAGAGGAGCCTTTGCATATCTGTAGCCTCTTTATATTTGAAATTAGCCTTGCACTTATTAAAATCATTTCTGAACTCCCTGTCAATGACTGTTATCGACATAGAATGCTTGAAAGGAAATTTTATTTTTTATTATGTGTATAGTGCCACCTCTGACTCAGTCACCATATTGTTTTTCTATTCACACAGTGCACATCTTCATGTAGCTGGAACACTGTGATTAGATAAAGGTCAGAATTAGCATAAAGACTTTTCTGAGGCTGCAAGACTTGTCATAGCCCATTCTTGACTTTTATTAGGAAATCATTTGTGCTGGCCGAATCTCAAATCTTCATTACATTTGTACATTTGTTTAAGTTGGATGTCAAAACCTGTGGAACTTCTTTTGAAATGTCGAAAGTGGGAGAAAGTTCCAAATCTGAAAATCCTTTATTTTTATTTGTATAAAGGATCAAAGTTCTTGAGCTCAGTGTTAAATGAAAGCAGTTATTGTATCTACCTGCTGAGACGTCACATCCACTTTACTAATGATCATATCAAGAGCATAGTGTTGAAATCTGAGAAAAAAGAACATCATGATTGGTAGTGATTTTAAACCATAATGAGCCCCTCTAGGGTTTCAATATCTACGCCTTCGTGACCTAGTTCGAACGCATCGTACTCTCAATACGATGTTGTGTAGCCATTGTGTGGCCTTCGTTTGTCCTGCGGGTATAAACTACTATAAAAATGTACATCTTCGTGTTGCCTTCGTGTGTGGTTCGGGTGCCATCGTGTGGCCTTCTGTAGGCATCATACTTGCTTCGGCTGTTGCTTGGCTGTTGACCAAGTTCGGGGCCATCTTCGTGCGAAATTCACAATTCCATATTCGTGTGTCCATCTGGTGTACATTTCGGGACAGTGTGACGCCAGCCTTATTGCTTGACTTGCTTTTGACTTCAGATAAATGTTCAATAGTGGACTGAAAAACTTGTTTGACTTAAAGAATGTTTTAGAAAGTTGTCCAGTGATATTTTCACTTAAATATGAACTGTGATACGCTTCAACTCCCCTCAACCCTGCAAAGGATAAAGGGGTATCGACAATTGTTAGTTGGTTGGTAGGTTGGTTGGTGGGTAGATTGGTTGGTTGGTTGGTTGGAAGGCAACATGAGTTAGTGTTTGCTATTGGCAGCTCAGATTCTTAAAGATCTATGCCAATCATTTAATCCTATTATGAACCTTAAAAATTATTTCAGTGTTTGAAAGTTTCCCTCTCATAATGAGCAGAAGTTTTAGGTTTTCTTTGTTGAGATACTCCTTCAGTGACCATATTAAACTACGCAGTTTAATTTGCAGCAAGGTAAAGTTTTGCTTCCTCATTTAGCGATGGCAGCATGCTGTTCTCATTGGCAGCCCCATTCTGAGATAAACTCTGTTTATATGCCTGGACTTTCTTTCTACAAACATCTTGATTGGAGGAAATGTATGTCTTTCCCTGCCACTGCGGCACTTAGCCACCAACAACCAGACTGAGCGCAGAGCCAGCAGGACGGCAGCTTTTTTGTCCCCTGCCTTCTTTTATTTTACATCCCACTATTTGTTTCTAAATGTGGAGCTCAAGTTTTTGTATCCTAGCAACAGCCAATGGTGGACGCACACTTTGATTAGAAAAAATTGCACACACTATAAAGCGAGTGTATTGTGCACTGTAGTGCGAATCAGAGAGAGCATTTGGGTGTTTAATTTGTTCATTTGTGTCGCTGTTGTTGGGGCTGCTCCTACATTTATTCACAACTGCGCCTTTCTTTTCTTTATCTCATCTATTAAAAATAAAACAAATGTACAATCTTTCCTATTCATGAGAGTTTATTGTGGCGTATTGAAAGATGTGCTCGCCTTTGTGCTATTTTACTGTGTATTCATAATATTTCACAACTGTTTGCCTCATTTTAAGCTATTGCTGCTATTACAGCATTGCAGATGTGGAAGTACGAGTACATTCTGCTAGACAAATACATTTCATCAGCAAGTCAAGGGGATTTGCAAAGCTTTATGCTGCTTATGGGTTGTTAACAAGTCTGAAACACACATATTTTAACCAACAAACATATTAGAATGTAAGTTAAAGGTAGAAACATTTCCAGTGAGAATAAACGGATGAATTGTGTTTGCCTGGTGAGAGTTCTGCAGCCTCCATATATCAGCTTCTCAGTAGCTGCTTGGCTCGGGGCCAGGGACGCAGATAAAGAAGCCTCTCTGTGCTGCCTTCTCATGCCATCTCTCTCCCTCTGCATCCAGGTACTCCAAGATGCACGACCCTGCCAACTGGCTGGAGATCGACCCCGTTAACGGTCGGATTTCCACCATCGCCATCCTCGACCGAGAGTCTCCTTACGTCAAAAACAACCTGTACAACGTTACCTTCATGGCCTCTGATAACGGTGAGACAAAATTGTCGTGCAGTAACCCCCCCCCACACACACACACACACACACACACACACACACACACACACACACACACACACACACACACACACACACACACACACACACACACACACACACACACTCCTTTGTTGTCTGTGCTTCAATAATCAGTGGTGCTTGTTTTACTGTCTAGCCTTTGCAGATGAGAGCAGTGTGACTTGGAAACTGTAGCTTGTGAAGGCTAGCTTGCCTCATCATTAGTACAAATAATAGTGCCTTGGTGATTCATCCCTTTTTTTTCAGTCCAACGTTTCAATAATGATTTAATCTTTCAACGATTATGGAAAGAAGACACTGAAGAGAAAACGATTATTGTACATTTGCAATTAAGCTCTTGTGTTGTCGTGTGGTGTGCCCCCCTTTTCCTTCACAGCAGTGCACTCCCCCCCCTCCCCAGTGTTTCATATTGTTTCATTTGTCCTGTCACAGTTTTATAAATTACAGAAAATAAATAATAAATGCTACTTTCCGATCACACCATTAACCAGCAATGCAGCTACAAGTGAAAAGGTACAATGCATACAATAAATAATTGGACTCATCACTATTTTATTATTTATTATTATTATACAATTATATAATAGATATATTCATTTCCAAGCATTTGGCTCCTTCCAAGAGAAAATAAAATAGTTATTTACATTTGTAGTATTTAGTCGCTTTATCTGCCTAAAAAGTTCACTGCTTTGAACATGACTTTGAAAAAAGCTACCCTTACCCTTACTAAGATTGACCATTAAGATTTTTGAAATTGTTTAAATTAAGTATTGCAGAGTTACATCGTGATGTCACAACACTGTAGTTGGACAACAATGCTGTGTCACACAACCCAGTTAAATACAACATTTTAGGCTTAGTTTATTTTCCAACTTATCAAGCCTGAAGTAAAGCTCTTATTCCACATAATAGAAAGAGGAAGAGTTATTCTCTAGACAACAGATTGTGCTGTCTACCTTTAATTACATTTCAATTCTTTATTCCCGCAATCAAATGTCTCGATCGGGGAGGATTACGCAGACACAGTACACCCATTGATTTCTAATTGAGCTTTTTTCCTGGCTATTGAGTACATCATTCCCAAAGTCTTGCTCTTGTCTTGGTCACAATTGTGCTTTATAGCCATGGTAAAGAGGATTCTCTGTTTAGAGTGGAAAATTGTTCAAGAGGAATGTCATTCAGCGGCTCTCTCCATCCACTCTGCACCCTCTCCATATAGAGACTCCGCTGTGCCTAAGTGACTGTCTTTGCACATTTCTGTCCAGCACACACACACTTGCTGATAAAAAACACACTGAGGACAAACACACGCAGGCTTTTGCTAAAGGTTCCAAGTCTGCAGTTTCTCAGCCGTGACCATATGGGCACCGGTCACTAACTATTACTGAGCATGCTTCACTTTATTCTGTGACCATGAACAATACAGAGAATGTGCATTCACTTCCAAGTGATGTAGTATCCACGTCACTAATAATATGCAAGCTGAACGAATGTGCACACTCTTTAGTCAGCTCCATTCATTCATTTTCAGTAACTACTCTCTTGATTATTCTGCATATGGTGCATCCAACAATCTACTGAGAATGATTGTGCTGTATAATTCTGACATAAGGCGTACTGAAATTAAACATTCCCTTAAAGGATAGATTTGGTGATAATCAGTTTTTAACTGTCAACAAAGATTCAAACCAAAGCACAGTGTGTGTGTGTGTGTGTGTGTGTGTGTGTGTGTGTGTGTGTGTGTGTGTGTGTGTGTGTGTGTGTGTGTGTGTGTGTGTGTGTGTGTGTGTGTGTGTGTGTGTGTGTGTGTGTGTGTGTGTGTGTGTGTGTGTGTGTGTGTGTGTGTGTGTGTCTTAATGTGCTCTGACTTCCCTACAGATGCTGTGATTTAGTATATCATTTAATTATACATTTGAATTGTTCAAAATGAGAAACATTTGAATTTTGAATGTCTTTACAGACCTCCAGAAAAGCATCACCTGAAAAGGCAGATGTGGTTACATTTAGATCAGGGGTCGGCAACCAGTGGTGGCACGCGGGACCATAACCAGTGGCACGCTAGGAATAAGTGTGCAAAAATATTTAAATTGTATTTTCGGATCCTGAGCGAGACCGCCGGCAGAGCGCGTCTCCCCCTGCAGAGCACGTCTCCCCCTGCAGAGTGCGTCTCCTCCTGCAGAAGGAAGCCATGTAAGCAACGCAGCGCAGAAGGATAACTTCTAGGCCCCGCTCTCTTTAACTCCAGTTGACTTTCTGCTGCTTTCCTCCATGGGGAAATGACCAGGGGTGTAGCGGGTGTAACTTCACACATTGCAGTACAGTACCCATAAGGAGCTTTACATGCCACAGTTTTTTAGTCTTTAGTTGAAAGCCCAGTGGCGATCTGCTCATCTGTCATCGAATATAATATGCTACACAGGGGCGGACTGGCCAACTGCGTGTTCTGGAGAATCACAGTACGTCCGGCCGTCAGCGAACCGGGCCGTTGACGACCAGCACCACCCTTTATTTATTTAACTGTGTTTAAACTGCATCATGTAAGTTGTGCTGATAGACGACATAGGTCCACAGCTTCCCCGCAGCGAGGCTCCCCCCCCCCCCCGTTGACAGTTCACGAACGTCGGCATACTAACCCCTAGATTCCACCGGGCCCATCTGCGTCGCGTTACGGCTGTGTTACGGCCGTGTTACGGCCGCGTTACCCCCAATTTCCACTGGGTCCGTCTGCGCCGCGCTGCGCCGCGGTTTTTGTCCGACCTCCTCTAGCGCCATAACCCACCGGACGCGTCCCAGAAGCGTTTCAGAAGCATAGCGTCGTGCGTGCAGGCTCAGTAAGTAGGCTAGGTAGTTAAATGTTTTATTTTTGTGTCTGTTTAAATTGTGTTTATTGTTGTTATACATTTCCTATTTTGTTGTGTTGTAGTCTACAGACACAGTTAATAATAATTGTAATAGTCCACTTCCATGATGAAAACCTCGTCGTCCATTGTGCGTATCGTAGTGGAGGTGTTGTGATGAAGGAGAGGGGTCTGCTAAATTAGTATATGTGGGGGATGGGCCTGGCCCGGATGCTCACCTTTCCACTTCCTGCGAGGAGGGGCTGCCTGCCCGACCTTACGTTACGGCTGCGCCGCGGCAAAAATAGGATTCATCCTAATTTTAGAGAAGCGTCCGGCCGCGTTACGGCCGTGTTACGGCTGCGCCGTGTTACGGCTGCGCCGCGACGTCATCAAGGATTGCAGCCACTCTAGTCAATGGGTACTATTCCACCAGACGCATTTCAGAAGCGGAGCGTCTTACCTGCCGTCTCGCAGTTTTTGTTGCAAGTTAATAATAATTGTAATATCCCAGTTATAAACGACATGAATCAAAGAATTATTCTATATATATAATTTACACAGTGCCTGTAAACCGGAGGAGAACGCTGGCATTTCTCCTCCTACTTGAAAGACTACGGAGGGATAGGGTCTACAAATTAGTTTATTTGGGGGATGGGCCGGATGCTCTGACCGGTCCACTTCCTGCTCGCCGCCTCTGCAACGCCTCGCGTCGAAAAATAGACTTCAATCCTATTTCGAGCGGAGCCCAGGGGCGATACGCTTCTGGGACACTTCCGGCCCATCCACACGGCGGCGTGCGTTGACGCTTGGCGGTGGGCGTGTCTGAAGCTTGGGGAGTTTATGCGAGCAACGAGACCAACAACCAATCACATGAATCTCCCGTGCAAATCAAATCAAGTTTTATTCATATAGCACATTTATAAACATTTTTGGTCGAGCCAAAGTGCTGTACATATAATAAAAATAGCCTACAGTAGAGACACTTAACAGCTAATAAACAGCACAGTTTGTTCAGAATATCATATATAATATAATATAAACTCCCCAAACAGGCGAAAACCTACCAGTTCCACCCACTGTCTCTGCCACCTCCCTCCATGCCTGGCTCCTCCAGTTTGTATCCCGGTAGGTGAACAGATACTGATCATATAACACCGGGTGATTCACTACCGCTATAATTAATTTCTCCGGAAATGACCTGCGTAGTCTCTCCCAGCATACACGCGGTTTGATTGGCTAGCGCTTGTACTGGCAGATTTGCATAAACAGGATTTGATTGGCTGACGCTTCTGCCGAGGCGCCAAAAGTTTAACATTGCTCAACTTTTGCAGCGAGCAACGCCAGCAACGCTAGCAACGCTCCGCGTCGCTTCGCACAATGCAGTTTGGCGAAAAGTGACGTCACCCCATTCAAAGTGAATGGTGAAGCGTCAACGCACGCCGCTGTGTGGACGGGCCGTTCTGAACCGTAACGCGGCGCGTCTGGTGGAATAGCACCCATTGACTAGAGTGACCGCGATCCCTGCGGATGCCGCGGCGCAGCCGTAACACGACGCAGACTGACCGGGTGGAATCAGAGTAGATTGTTTTTATTTTTATATTGTTAATTTATCTTTCTTAATAACATTTTTAATTTTTTTTTAGATTAGATTGATAGATGTTTTGCTTTTAAAAAAAAAGATATGTGTACAACTTAATTCCTCTTATTGTACTAATGTATACACAATATACTGAATTGAATTGAACTAATGATCCTCTGAATGGTAGTTCAGTGCATTAATCCCCTGAGCCAGTGTCATCCAGATCTTGGTGTGAAGTGGAATTTATTCATAGATTGAATTCACTTGGGCTGACTAGCATCACTGATGGCTTCTGCACAGACCACATATTGTGATTAGCTTATACCTGGTTTAAAAAATATTGTGTATTTGTCAGTGTTTATTCTTGAATCTGTTAATTCTGTATTTCCAGGTATCCCGCCTGCCAGTGGCACAGGCACCCTTCAGATGTACCTGATCGACATAAATGACAACTCCCCCCACGTGTTCCCCCCTGAGGTGGAAATGTGTGAGAAGCCTCATCCCAACGCCATCAACATCACAGCCAGTGACCCCGACCTGGCCCCTAATGGCGGACCCTTCGCCTTCGAGCTTGCCAGTCGTCCATCAGATGTACGCCGCAACTGGACGCTGCACCGCATCAACGGTCAGTATGAGACAGTGTGTCCGTTTCTTTAAGAAAAGTCTGGGAACAATAGATTTCATGGACTTGTATTCAAGACCAATAAAAGATCCATTGACTTATTTTATTTCAAAGATAAGTTATATGGTAAATCTGAGGCTGGTGGACATGCTGGGCAAAAGTAGCATTTGGTTGAAGTAGCTATTTAGGAAATATAAATGTCACTTCAGTAGTTTTGGATGTTACCCCTTAGTTACCTGGTGTAGAGTTTGGTTGAGAATTATCTGTTTGTATGTTGGTGAGTATCTCAAGACTCATCTATCCGTGAGCAGATATCATTGAATTATTTTTGGAATGTAAGGTAACCCCAATTTCTCCAGTTACGACCAAGGCAGCTCCAAGTAAAATGTATTGGAAGGGGATGAGGATACAAATGATGAAATCTGTAAGTTAGCCAGGAAAAAACCTTGCTAATCAATTTCTCCATCTGTCCACCCTTCCATCATGTAGGCGAGTACGCCCAGCTCCGACTGAGGATCGGCACTCTGGCCAGCGGGATCTACGAGGTTCCCATCATGATCACAGACTCTGGGAACCTGCCCATGTCCAACACGTCCTACCTGAGGGTCAAGGTCTGCCAGTGCGATCTCCATGGAGACTGTGTGGACATGGAGCGAATCATCGCTGCTGGTCTTGGCACCGGTGCCATCATCGCCATCCTCATCTGTATCATCATACTGTTAGGTGGGTCTCCAACATGCACAACATATGAATAAAACATGTTTATAATTATAAAGCTGACATCTTCGATGACTATATTAACATTATAAAACATACTGGGTGTAGCAGGTTCCATGCTGCCAACAACATCAGTGGATCAGTCTGTAGGGAATTGGCTTGGGAACCAAAGGGCCACAGTTTTTGACCAAAATATGGATTTTTAGATGGAGAGGTGCCAGTACACCAACTGGGCAATGCTGATGTGCCCTTGAGCAAGAAACCAAACCCCCAAATGCTCCCCACCCCCTAAACCTAACCCAAGGAGCCAAACGCCCAACTGCTCCATGGCACCGAATAATTGTAAAGTGGGAACCCACTGGGCTGGAGCCTGGTTTTAAATGTAAAAAGAGGTGTACAAGAATACAAATTACCACTGTAGCCACAAAATTGAGCACAAAGTTGATTCAGAGTCAACAATTATGATGGCCCTACACACACTCTCTGATGAAGTGAACTCAGTCTGTAGTTAGACTCAACCCAATTATGCTCCTTTAAAGTGGAGGGTGTAAATAAAGACAGGGCAGACTCCCGTCTCCCGTCAGTGAAAGGGACGACCCCGTTCATTCCTATGACATTTGTTCAGTGGCAAATGAAGTCAAGTTGACTCTTCCCAATGTGAGTCAATGGGAAAATGTATTTTTGGGCCCAATGACGTCACGGACTGATAGATATATTTTAGTACCACCTTTTGGCCACTACACAAATGTTGCTTCAACTTCTGGCGTACTTCCTGAGGGCTTGGTTGATGCAGACTTGCAGTTGGAGGGTTCAGTTACCCACTTCCAGTCCCCACCAGTTGGCTATGAACAGCACTTAATGTGTTTGCTGCTCCACGTGAACGAGCAATCGCACTGGAAGTGCGAAAGGGGAGGGTGTGAACTCAGTGAGAACCCTAACACAGCCTGCAGGCTCCTTACGGCGAAATCTTGCCCCAGAATACCTTAATGTAGCCGCAGGAAAGAAGAGGAATACTTTTACTCAAGCCATTGTTGGCAGTTGGTATTAAAGGCGAATAAATCAGCACCTTTGTTCCATTCCATCTAGCATCAGTCACTGAGTGTTTGGTTAAGCATAGGTTTGCCATGGCAGAGGTCCCAGCTCTACTCCCAAGTGTGAATGTCTGGCCGGTTGCAGTTTTTCATGAAGTGTGTGCCTGTTAACAAGTCGCACTTGATGTGTTTGGACACTGTGCAGAGCCTTTTAAAGTTGCTTCCTCACTGTAATGCTTCAAGGTGACAACGGAGTGGACAAACAGAGGAACTCGGCTCCTTCTGAGTGTTCATTTGGAGAAATTATAAATTACCAAGTAATCATGCACTAGGGTTTACTGTATCAGACATTTAATTCGAAGTGCATCAGCAAGGACTGTTTAACAAAGGAAATCAAATCAAATGTGGTATGCATAGCCCAATGTCACTATTACAAATGTACTGCAGTGGGCTTCACAATCTGTACAGCAGACAGCACCCTGTGTCCTTAGAGATTTGATGAGTGGTTAAGTACAAAAGAAGTACAGCCTCAGCCGGATACACGCAAGGATTGCATCACATACTTAAAACAAGGAAAAGCTCTCAGAATGGAGCTCTGACTCATACAGGGTTGTTTTATAGATCAAATCAAAGATGTTTGATAAGTCTATTGCAATTAAAGCACTTTTAGTTACTGAACTTTTTAAAAAAACGGACCCAGTGCCAGAGCTCGGCAACACTCAGGAATGAAAATGTAGAATAGTGATGAAGTCCAACTGTGCTAAAGAGGTCAAGTGTAGATTAAATGGAATTTCTGAATGCAGTTGAATTGTCAGTTAAAAAGTGAGTGCCCGTTGTATCCGTTGAAATTGTACAGGCTAGGCATATTACTACTTTAAAAATGAAAGATAACTTATACAGTGGCACTTACCGTGTCAATTCTGATCAGAAACATTTTTGTTGTTCAGATCCTACCTTCAATTGGAAGACATTTTTTTCAAGGTTTTAAAATGATTAAAAAAGATTTCTGAGTGATTCATGTGTATGAAACATGCAGTGTTCAGAACACTCTTCTTTGTTTGGTCCACATTTCTTGAAATCTATAAAGTAGCATGTTTCTTTAACCTGTTGAACCCCATCCGCCCGCCGGCAGAAAAAAGCATCATCTGCAGGAAACAGCGTCTGAGGGCTTCTTAATATTTAATAAACTATGAATGTTTCATATCCATGTAACGGGAAGAAACTCAGCTAACTGATGATATGAACCATTTTTAGCAAAAAAACAGACTAATGCTGAGCCTCTAAATTAGCCCTGGGCGAAAAAAGGCTAAGACCGTTAGCACATAACTCAGTCATAAAACCCTTATTACTTATTGTAAATGCAAATCCAACATATCGATTAGCATCGGGAGAATACACAGAATCGATAGGTATATGTATCATCACTCGGCAATATGTCTTACCTTCGTTGTTGTCTGGTCAAAAGTGGTCTTCAATGGCATTAAAACGATAAAAACGCTGCTGAAGGTTAATCCATAGGTTAATCCAATGTGTCTGTGTCACTTTGAAAGGATTTCTGATAATCCATCAGCAATAAACCTAGTTTTAAGTTTTCAGATTTCAGAGCGTAAGATTTCGCTTTAGGCAAACTGCGTGCGCATAGCCCCCACTTCTCAATGGTAACGTTGGTGTGTATGTGGAAATCCCCCTTCGATTATATTGGCTCTAACGGATCAAAAGAGATGTCAATCATCAAAATCGACCAATGGTTTCCAGAGAAATGGCAAAAACGCCCATTTTCAGAATTTTTGGACGGACACTATAATTTACATTTTTTTACTATGTTCAATCTGAATTTTCTTTAAAATAAAAAACATCTATATTGATTCTGACTCTTCTACATCCAACTCACAGGTTTATCATTACTTTGAGAAAAAAGATTATTAATTTTCTCCTTTTAGAAGTGTAGTTATGGTCATTAGTTCTGGGAATGTCATTTTCGAGCCTGAGACCTGAAAAACAGGCTTGGGGCTTAACAGGTTAATAAATTATTTTCTGGGACTTTTTTATTCAAACATTTGACAGTTGCTATGTCACCACCAGAGTTGGTAATATTACGGTAATAATATTACTTTTGTCGGCAAGGGAGTAGTGTAACGCGTTACTTTTATAATTCAGTAATCACACTACAGTTACTAACATTGCCCCGACACGCGTTACTTCGTTACTTTTATAAAATAATCACACTCACTGACAGACAAGAGGGGTTTCCGCCGCAGGTTTATATTGGCTACATGTAGGCCTATGTAATCTGCGCGACTTGCGAGACCACATCTCCACGTGCAGTGCTGCATAAACATGGCTGAGTCTTTTCATCTGTAAACTCCCTCAACGGGCCGCTCGCTCTCTTTTGTTGATCGCCCTCTCACGGGTGAACAGTTCAATGTCCCGCTTCATTGTAGGAATTCTGCCATGTCTCTACCACTTTAGTTTGACCATCTCTGTTACTAAGTTATGGAATACTAAATACATAAGTAATTAGATACCTTACCGTTACTGCGCTCATAAAGAATGATAAGAATAATGCGTCTTGAACTGGTTTCATTAATTAGTGTCTTGACGTTTCACAGACTGTTAGCTTGTTGTGTGGCTGGTAGCCTATTTGAGAGCATATAAAAAGAAAGACTTGTGTTATGTCTTCCTTAATGCAATAGTAATTGGGGGTGCAAGTGGAGTCTCGCAGAGGCAAAACTGTGGCGCGCTTACACTGTAGGTGCGCCGCAGTCTGCGTGATCCGCCTGTAGGGAGGGGCGGGCCGGCCCTGCGAGTAAAGTAACGAGTAAAGTAACGAATAAAGTAACGAGTTACTTTATGTAGAGAGTAACGAAGTAGTGTAATATATTACTTTTTTTTAAAGTAATATGTAATATATTACTTTTTTTTAGTAACGACCCCATCTCTGGTCACCACTATCAGCAGGCGTGTCAAATGTTGGACATTTTAGTTCATGGATAGTTTGAAGAAAGAGGAGGAGGAACAGAGACAACCGAAGCCCTCAGACCAGGCTCATTAGCAGGCTGTTATAGTGTCTGGCACACGCTGTTATTTTAGAAAGATGAGTTAACTGTTGACTCCCCTTTTGGTTTCACTGAAAGTACAAACCTATAGGGTTTGTACTGGTTTTTACTAAGAATGTAACATTGTGTCCTTTAGGTACAACAGATACCAAACACATGCACACCCTCAGATTCTGTCTTTCATAAATCATGTTATTGCCATCAACGATTCATTTCAAGTTATTAAATACACCAGTTGTCTTTGAAGAGCTGTGTGTTTCCGTTCTTTAAAATACACAATCCCATATCATAAGATTTAAGTTTTTATTCCGTTTCAAACTATGTCTGTCTACTGTTGAGGGGATAAATGTGGCATATAAGTTGCAGGGCTCGACATTAAGGACTGCCCGGTGGCCCGGGGCCATCTAGTGTTTAGCTCGGGCAATGAAGCCTCACCTGCTGGTTGCCCGATCGGGCAATCTATTATGCCAGTATCATGCAGCTCGCGGATCCAGTAATGAGTGACCCGACAGTAAAACTAAACATATCTATAACTAGTTTAGGTAGTTTGAGAGGTAATTAAAATAGCTACGTGTGATATTCTTACCTGAAGTGTGTGTTTTGTCCGCTCACCGCTGCAGGTGATCATGCAGAGCTGCGTGTCGACTCGTCAGCAGCAGTTGATCTCTCTCTCCCGTCAGATTAGACTTCACTCGCGTTTATCCATATCCATATGTCCATATCGATCAGATCCAGCTAGTTCTAGCTAATGATATGATACCTGCTTATTAAAAGACACCTAAACAATAAGTGTCGCTATGCAACCGGGTGAGGCCACAAAGTATAGCGCAGCATTATGCATTTGTTTACATGCCCACCGGAACCCAGAGGCATTACCAACAGATCAACGCACAATCAACCCACACAGGACATCTCTTTCTCCACATTAAGTGTTAGACATTAGAATTGACTATTCTTGTCTGTCACGTACTATTCTTGTCTGTCACATAAGTGGCGCAACTGAAGCGGTATTGCGCTCAAGGGAAATTATTTTTGACCGAAGAGATTTAGATTTGCCGGCTAACGGGAACTCTGACGTCGCCATTTTGTGTGCTTCGTGGATGTGCTCGGCTCCTCTCGACTGCTGCTCGGGTCTGCTCGGTCAGCTTCCGGATGAGGAGGCATTCGTTCGACCAACTTACAGTAGATAACATTACAAACATTTTTAACAGGGGACATAATAGTGTAAATAATAGGGATGCACGATAATTATCGGCCCGATATTAGGAATTATGACTAGGGATGCACGATAATTATCGGCCCGATATTAGGAATTATGACGATAAACCCGATACCAGTATTAATAGCCCCGATAATATACAATATATTTTTTGGGTAAAAAAAAAGAAAAAATACTGCGGTGTGGGTAGATTGGGATGAGGGGCGCTTGTTTTTCACTCGGCTCCTCCCGTTTTGCCAGTACTGTGGTATTAGTGGTTTAGGAAGAGGGGAGTTCTTCACAAATCCAGCGCTCCCTAACTCATGCCTGGCTGTGACGTAAATGGTGTGCGGCCGTGAAGCCAGGACAGTAAACAAACATGTCGTCGGTGGTATGGGCGTTGGAGCTATGTGCAACTCAAGGCATATGCTCGAACCGGAGCTGCCTGGACGCTGCAATCATGTTGCGCTCTATCCGTGCTGAGTGTGCTGACTTTTCGTACAATGTCCCACTGTCTGGCTTCCTGCATAAAGTCAAGTGCTCGGCGCAGTTGTGGCGAAATGTCGCTCCTCTGTTTTCATTTAAACAGCTCCTTATATCCGTTAGCGCAGCTAGCTAGCACCAGATGCTAACAACAACAATGCACGTAAGGTCTCTCTCTCGCTCGCTCGGGCCACACATACACACACCCTCCCGGTCCTCCAGATGGCCAGTCGGTGCCTGCCGATGAGCGTGGAAGTGTGGTCTGCCACAAGCGGGCGGCAGGAGCGGGGCTGTCAGCATCAGCTTGTAGATGGTATTTTAAACTCGATGCGCTCTGAAACTACGGGGCGGCCAAGGAAAAAAAATACACATGCGTTAATCGCGCTAAAATAATTAGTGGCGTAAAACATTTTTTATTATCGGGAAGCAGGAAGTTATCGGTATCGGTTTCAAAAAACCAATATCGTGCATCCCTAGTAAATAATGTTTGTTTTGGCAGTTACAACTGAATGTAATGTTTTCTACTTTTTTACATCTGGGAAGGCATTTGCCTTCATCAGATGGAAAGTGTCTTGACCAACAACTTAAGTATTTATTTTAGCTGCAGGGCATGCAAGCGAGCAAACACAAACAAGAACAAACAAGTGAAATGAAGAATACAATTGAACAATATAATATTGTGGTGGTTCATCGTATAATTCAGTCTAGAGAATGCACCAGACAGCATCTAAGACCTGCAAAAATCTAAATGTTCTAGGGGGATGGCCCCCAAACCCTTCGTGAGTAATTTCGTCCGCGCGCATTTTTCAGGGCAATCTCTATTCGGCTCAGGACCATCTGTAAATTAGCTTAGATGGCCCACAGGGCCATCTCCCAAAATCCTTAATGTCATGCACTGAGTTGTGATACAGATTTAGCATTAATCATTGTAGAGCATATTCTTAAAACTTGCTGAATTCAAAATTGGTCAACGTTGTGATTTAATAAGTGAGCAGTGTTTCAAGTGTTCAGAAGTTGCCATTACACAGTGAAACGCTACATTTGGTGGTGTTTAACTTGGGATGACGAGTTAGGAGTGGTTCCATCAAAGTGGGATTTTCAAACCTCAGCTTGTTTAATCGACTTTTTTGGACCTGAATTGGAGTGGTCTAGCCCTTTTCAAGACAAATAACCAAAAAAAGAATGAATGAACATGAATTGTTAAAGTGTTCTTTATTTATTTCACTTTAATCATCTGTCAATTCTTCAGGTTAATCTTGAAAAATGCAATGACAACCAATGGCTGTCCACCAACTGTCTCATCCATTCAGCATAATGTCCGGTCCGCTACACATTATCCTGCTTTTTACACGATAACTTACAATATTTTTAATGTTTTTATTTTATTTGATATTGATCATATTACTTACTACTTATGACTATCAACGGTTGTAACTGAGGGGACAGCAACATAACTTAACATAACGGCATCACTGATGGAGGCTTTCTGTAACCATCCAAGTCTGTTGACTTTTTCTTTTCCATTAACCAGTCTTTAAACCCCACCACAGCCCATGCTGTGTTTTTGTTGGTGTATACTTCCTGTCTGTCTTCTTCTACTGATTTCTTTGTCATTGCTCTCTGTGTCTTGAACTTCTTTCCTTCTCCTTTTTTCTTGTTCTTCTTATTTTTTTCTTTTCTTTATTAGGGACAATTTATCCAACGTTTTGTGCTATCCACAAATATAAAAATTAGAAGTATTCCAAAGTGTTTTTCATGGATGAAAACTATTGTGTTTTTGCCACAATTTACATTTAATTTACCAGACGTCTTTTTGTGGATTGATATGAATGCACATTCATATAATAACAGACCTCTGTATGTCCAAAATAACAGACCTCTGTACGTCCAAATTGACCAATCAGAATTGAATATTTAACTAAGCTGTGTAGTCATTGAATGTAGAACCAGGTAACTTGCTGAGTAATGGCCACATTGACTGCAGTGTGCTGTTAATAATCTAAACTCAGATGAAGATTCTGGACTCCTAAAAAGCCCCAAGAGAAGTCAAATGTTCTTTCCTCTTATGTTGACGTGCACAGAACATATTTGGCTTTTTGTTGTGTTGCTATTGGAGCTGTGGGATGTTTGGTTTTGTTCTTTCTCAGGCCCCTCTGGAAGCCTGTCAAGACCCAGCGGGGGGTCGATTGTGTCGAGTAAGGCTGGCATTAAACACTGTGCTTGTCTTTTCTTGCAGTGCTGGTGCTGATGTTTGTGATGTGGATGAAGAGGAGGGATAAGGAGCGCCAGGCCAAGCAGCTCCTCATCGACCCAGAGGACGACGTCCGCGACAACATCCTGAAATATGACGAGGAGGGAGGGGGAGAGGAGGACCAGGTACAAAACACACACACTAAACATTTTTAAAAACAGCTGGGGTTTTTTGGGTTTATTTTAAAGCCAGTGAGGTTTGTTACAGGAATTGTCCTCAAGCAGTAACAATGCAAGCAGTAAATACACATAATGTTGCCACACAGACACACACTCTGCCTCTGTTCAGTTTTAAATAATCTGTCCTCCGGCTAAGATTAAGTGTACTACAAAAGAGGACCTAGAAACAGGATTAATTGCTTTCTGTTGGAGAACAATTTCCTGTGTCCCTCCACTCAACTCCTCGGCCGGTGCCAAGCACATAAGCTGCTTCACACGGGAAAAATGCTTAACCCTCATATCTCCAGCAGACTAGACGACATGGTTTACTTTTGCTTGTTACGGTGGCTGTAAAAAGGAAAGGAGTTAGACTGTATATTTTTAACCATACACAACTGGTCCTGCAAGTACTGACGCCGTTAACCTCTATGAATTTGAATTGCAACCATCAGAGTCTATAATTCGTTATTTGTGTTCAAGGTACACAAATAACTTTTTGTCATTACATTTTAAGGGCTAAGAGTATTACTTAGCTTGGAATGATTAACATTTTGGAGATCAAATGGGGACCCAAAAGCACCTATTTTCTTGGTTAAACTTAGAATAAACATTGTTAGTCAAAAACATGAATTACAAACTTTTCTTTCAAGAAATTATTTAACCTTTGACAGTGTTTCTTCAATTTGTAATGTAGGATTTAATGAATCTGTCTCATATATCCTATAATAGTTGGTAAGAAATGAAGATTTCTCCAAATATGGTCAAATTTGTATTGATACTCTTATCCAAATTACATTTAAGGTTAAACTGAGGTTAAACATTCAGAAAGACGACCTGCTGATACACAAATCTCCATTTAGTGTTACAAATACAAAGAAGGCTGAACTAAGTAGTTATATGGCCACATAATGTTACCAGATTCAAGGTAAAACTGTACACATCATAATCATAATACACTGGCAATACACATAGATAAAATAAATTAATATACTACACCAGGGCTTCTCAAACTCCGGACCAAGGTCCGGATCCGGACCGAACTGCAAATCAATCCGGACCAAACCCTGTGTCCCATTATTAAAAAAAAAAAAAAAAGATTCTGATGTAAATTAAAGTGGACCTATTATGCTATATTGGAAAAAATATATTGTAGGGCCATACCTATACAAATATAGGTCTGTGAAGTTTTTTGCTTAAAATACGAAACAGTTTACCCATTGTAGCCATGCCTCATACTGCTCATACCCCTCTTGTGCAGCCCTGTTAGAGAAACGCGGATTTTGGGTCCTTAGCTTGAAAAAAAAAAGAGGAGGCGGAGCTAATGCCTGATCAGTATTCTACCGGAGATAAAGTTAAATTCTGTTGTAATAAAACGCCATCCTGTTCTTATCCACATCAAGGATTATTTCTGAAATAGATCTCAAATGCTTTTTCTCTTGCGGGTTTATCACAAGGTGAGTTCCTTTTTTAATTTCCTGCTTTTTAAACACATGTGCTCTCCAGTACAGGTTAGCTCTGAGTGTTAGCGAGGCTTGCTAATGTAAACAAAGACGAGATTACGTCCAAAACACGTTCAAAACGCGTCAGGCATTGTTTCTGATAGCAATTTTCTGTGGGTCCGCTGCCGATTTGACGTCAGATTGGCAGCACATCTGTATCCGCTCGTTTTACCCCTGTTTTTAAAAGATTTGGGTAGCCTAGGAGGAAAAAAGAGCGGGTTTTATTTTCTGACGCTGCGTGAGTTCCCTGACGCACCGGGGACACATATTTATGTATAAAATACATCACAAAGTGCATTTTGCATGATAGGTCCCCTTTAATGTATATTGTCTTGTGTCTGACGCATTCTGAGAATGAACGTGTGCATATATTTACTTGTGTGCGCGAGTGTCACGCGCATTTAAGTTAACCACAAGTTTACCTTGACTTTCTAATGCTTCTAATGCCATTTTTGCAGAGGTTCAAGGCATTGGCTACAGACAAACAGTGCCATTTCTCCCACTAGTTCAAGCCATGATACTGTATGTATGTATGTATGTATGTATGTATGTATGTATGTATGTATGTATATATGTATGTATGTATATATGTATGTATGTATATATGTATATATGTATTTATGTATATATGTATATGTATATATGTATGTATGTATGTATGTATGTATGTATGTATGTATGTATGTATGTATGTATGTATGTATTGAATGTCTGTGTGTATACAGGGGCGCCGTTTACCGACAGGCAAGTGCTTAGACCAGAAGGGGGCCCCCAAATAAAGTAGATTAATCCAATCCAATCCAACTTTATTTATATAGCACTTTAAAACCTCCTGACCAAAGTACATGCATAGCGCGCCGAAACTGCTTCTTAATTTCAGTTTCGTTGCTCCGCTCCGGGGGTGTGGGGGGGGGGGGGACTTTACTGGCATTGATCCGGACCATTGACCTTGTATAAAATTCACAAGTGGACCTTTAACAAAAAAGTTTGAGTACCCCTGTACTACACTAAGCACCACTTTTGAAAAAGCTTGTTAGAGACTGTGCTAAAGTTGCATTCATAGATTTGCATTGATTTGCGATTGCATGTATTTTTTTTATTACTTTCATTGAACCAATCAGTGTGACATGACATGACCCTGCAAGGTAGCACATCAAGGTTAGTATGACCCACCCTCCTCTGCTTTGAAATGTAGCGTTCACTGGTGATCTCCACAGATGAGACACCTTTGTGATATTCACTAGCTATATTATGCTGCAGGAGAACCACCACATAACCTTCATTGCATTATGTAACCTATAATAAGCATCTAAGCATATAGTAGTATTAGTTATAGGTTATGATTAAACCAAGGCAACAACTTCTGTCAATGAAGGTCTGAGAACTGAGTCTGTCTTTAATCTAAAGCTTGAATCCAGACCAACACAGACAGGCTACCCGTAGAAAAATCATGAAAATCTAATCAGACCAGAGGTTGCGCTAGACTTTTTCACTGCCCGTCATTTTGACAGACAGGATCGTAACATTTCCGTCAAAATTCAGTATTACCCGTCGGCCTTTACACTCTGGGGGGGGGGGGGGGGGGGAGGAGAGAGAGAACTGTCAACCGGGGGGGGGGGTGGAAGAGCACGGTCGTGAACTGTCAACGGGGGGCGGGGCGCACGCTCGTGAACTGTTACTCACCTCGCGGGAGTGCGCACAGCGTAAAGCCAAAACTCAGACATTTCAATGATTTGTAGGGCAAAGTTGGGTTTGGAAACGGTATCATTTCCTTTTTGGCAGGCATGCATATCACCGGAGACTCGCTGCGGGGAAACTTTGGCGCTGTTCCGAGTTTGTTCTAATCTTTCAAAATGACGGACTGCTTTCAGAGTTTTCCGTCATTGTTTAAAAAAATCCGTCATAGACGGAAAATATTCGGTTAACGCGACCTCTGAATCAGACATAGAGAATGTAAGACCTTCCACACCTGTGCAATGTGTTAATATAGCAGAGCCGAGTCTGAGGTGCTTAAAGCTGAACACACCTGACAGGCGGCCATTTAATATCTCTATATGTAAATAAGAAGGAAGTCTCTCAAAGTATTGTTTTCCATCAGAGACAAGCGTCCATCAAGTGTCGTATTGCAGAGGTCCAGTAGTTGTGTGCTTTAACTCCAACGTTCAAAGCAGTCCTTTGCACGTTCAGCTATGAACACCAAAATAGGCCCTATTAGGCTTTTTGGGGTTTTCCCTCTCCTGTAGTGTGTTATGTAGGTTTTTGTGCATGTAAATGATCTGCAAAGGCTAAAATCCTGGAGTTTCTCTCCCACACACTCTGCCTGAAACGCCTCCGTTGGTCTCCTTTACTTAGTGACATCCATTTGTATTGCATGTATATTTTTTAGTAACAATTTCAGTTAAAGCTTTTAAGAATAAATATATTTTTGTTATCTAAACGTTTGACCTCTTTATTTTACAATTTTGGAATCGAAACGGGGAATCGATAAGAACCGGAATCGATAAGCAGAACCGGAATCGAAATCGGAATCGATAAATTTCAAACGATACCCATCCCTACTCCTGGTGTAGTTATTTAAATCAAGTCCTTAAAGAAGTAAAAAAAAGTCCTGACTGAAAGAACATCATTCTATCAGGTCTTTGTAAGTATAGAAATACAAGAAGACACACGCAGCATTTATTTTCTCTGCAGGGCCCTCATGCTTTCTTGTGAGAAAAGTATTTTGTTGGGCGCCATTGTTGTGAACAAAGCCCAAGGTCAGTCCCCAGCAGGCTGTTAATGTCTTGAAAAGGCTGCTTTAGTCGATTTCCCTGGAGACCAGAGAGCAAGAAAAAGGTTTCTGGATGGTTGCTGCAATGACTCAGACGCTACCAGACTCATTCAACACAAAGAGATCAGAGGCCGTGACACACACACTTCCCCTCGGCAGGCTCACTGTGAGAGAAAGGGAAAGAGGCACTGTGGTGTAAGTGGATGGTAAATAAAAAGCATTTGAGGGGGTTTATTTCTTTCCTAGAACAGAAGGTGTTGGAGAAATGGTAGTTGTTACAGCAGAGGGGGATACGTAGTTACTGTCAGTCTTTGTATGTTGTTCCAAGTCGTCCTAGTTACGTTTTGTGTTAAGATCTTTGGTGCCGTCCTATTATTTTTACAGCATAAAGGTTTTTTCGGTTTTTGGAAAGCTTTTTTGAATTTGTATTTGAGCTTGACATTTGAATTTACAGCATCCCAATGTTTTTTCATGTTGTAATGTGTGAAGTTTAAGCAATGGTTCAGGAAAGTGCGGGGCGCCCGTGCATAATACTCACATCGTCCATGAAATATCTACGTTTTCAGTTATTGTTATTAATCAAGTAATTATTGAATTTATAATCAGTAATATGTAGAAATAAAGGCAAATAATTAGTGAATCCTGCCGTTAACTATTAATTGTCGTTATTAATAGGAAGTCAGGAAGAATGTAGGATTATTATCAGTTGTTTCCAATTATCAATCAATCCACTGACATTTCCTATTGCGCTACCGTCAGGTCATTTCTTTATGACTTTATGCATATTAGCCTACTCTCAGTGTCATTGTGAGCATGTTAGCATGCTTTCCGCATCATTGTGAGCAGGTTAGCATGCTAATACAGTCATTGCCAGCATGTTAGCATACTTTCAATGTCAACGGTGTCATTGTGAGAGCATAATGATGCTAACAGTGTCATTCGGTGCATGTAAGCATACTAATAGTGTCATCATGTGCATGTTAGGCTGCTTACAGTTTCATTGTGAGCATGGTAGCAGGCTGATATTGGCATTCAGAACACTGCACAGAAGTGAAGTCTCACATTATTAAACCATGCGGGAGACGCTTAATGTTGCTAGTATGCTTCACCTTGAAGGAGTTTTTTTTTTTACCATTAATCAGTTGTTTTCCATCATGATATTTTTTCCAGCTACACTGAAAAACGTTGCTACTGAGTAACAAACAGGAAGGCAAGAAAGATGTCCTCATATGTAATTGAAGGGCTGTACATACTCTTTTTGATATGTGGCTGTATAAATAAAATTACCTTAACTTGCTGACTGTAATAGAAACATGTAAATGATTGGTTGTGTGTGTGTTTAGGACTACGACCTGAGTCAGCTTCAGCAGCCTGATGCCCTGGAGCCAGAGTGCATCAAGGTGGGGATCAGACGACTGGATGAGAGGCCTCTCCACCATGACCACCAGTACCCCATCCGCTCTGCTGCCCCCCACCCAGGAGATATTGGAGACTTCATCCATGAGGTAAAGACCAGACTGTCTCTGTTTGTGTGGGACTGATCTCAATTTAAACCTATGTGGTGATATATTTGAGTAAAACATTGTTCTGAACCGGCAAGAGGATGGTGTCTATCCTCAATAACTGAGATACAATCTGTTGGCCCAGATTACATTCTGTTGTTGGCACATACACTTCTCAGGACAGAAAGTGATGAATCACTTCCAGAGTGAAATGTAAACTGTCTGCTCGGCAGCAGAAAGCAAACTGGATTTTCCAACGTAAGAACTTTTGCTTCTCTCATCTCTTTTTCTATCCTTTAGTATAAAGCATCAAAGACTGGCCGGGATGTGTGCAGTTTACCCCATCACCTTTCAGGATTTAGGGATATTGAAGTTCAAACTGATTTTTCAAACCAAACCCCTTGTAGCTATTCGGAGCTCCCAGCATGGGAACTAACCCACTTTAACATTCAAAGACTTACTTCTAATTGAAAAATAATGCAATGCATGATCCACACAGGCATTGATGTCTTCATGCAAATTGATTCAGATTTAAAGACGTTCTGGTACAGGTTCAGTCCTGTTTCCCTGTTATGAAATAAAACAGTATCAGGGTGGTATCAGTGATATATGTGTGGTTGGCAGGGGGTTGCCCGCTAACAGCAGACACTATTTTGTTTAACAAACTGACATGAGGGAGTGAGAGGCAGAGAAACGCAGAGCACACCGTCTGTAATTCTTAATTAGCTTTGCCAGCGGTCAGGATTAGCTTGGCACAGCCGGGCTACCTGCCTGGAGGTAAATCCTTTGAGTTTAGTTAATCCAACAGTCACCAGCTCCTTAAAGGGACAGTGTGTCACTGTGTTCCATTTGTCTTACGCTATAGTTTACAGTAAATACTATTTCCTAGTGTTGTTGGTTCACATTGCACAGACCACACCAATAAAGTAAAACATGTTGTGCCGGAACAGGAAATTATATAAAGTTTGTGCCAACAGACGAGAATCAATCGAGGTGAAAAACTAAGCTGCATTCACTGATGTTTTGAATGTGTTAGCAAACAGCATTATTAACTATATGCATTTTTAGCAACATTTAAGTTCACAAGCTACTTGCTTACTTTGTCTGTCGTCTGTTGGTGCTGAACATAGGCATGCCCTGTGTAAAGATCATGTTGAGAGGACTTAAATCAGTTGTAAGGCTTGGGTGAACCACAGAGTTGGTTAAAATGTAGGTTGGTTACCAAAAATCTTTTCACTTTTTACATTAGTTATTCGATACATTGGGTTTGGGTGGACGGCCTCTGTTTTCTTTAACCAAACTACTTCGTTTAGGTTCGGAACCAAAATAAAAAAGATAAACAGAGATTTACAATGAACTATCAGGAACAGCTCTGTTTAACATATTAATAAAGGTCCTAGTCAGACATTTGAATGCAGGAATGCTGCTATCATTTTTCTAGGGAGGACATGAGTGTTTATTTGGAGTGTCAGTACTTTGGCTGTTGTAATATTATGGGCAGCCAAAACCTGATATCTGTTGGCATTGTTTTACGTCTTTACATTTAAGCATATTGTGAAATGCTGTTAAACAAGTGGGCGCAGAGTCCTGAAAGAAAAAATATATCCAACATTATTACATAGGGGGTCATTAAGGATCATTCACATGTTGGTAAGACATGTGATCACACCACGTCTGAGGCCTCCACCTGGCTCTCATCTCTTCTCACCAACTCTTTGTGGTTTTGATACGGTGCATTGTAGAGATAAGAATAATAGCGGACAATCTTTGTTCAATTATTGGACATTTAATTTAAATCATATGTTTTTATAGAATATCTTATAATATTTTATTTTATCTTTTATTGTACATTCTTACTTCTTTTGTATATATATTTTTTTATTTCATTCTAAAATTAAATAAATATAGTATAAATGAAGTATTCATCATTCTGCTTCTGATATTAAAGAAACTCCACACATCTGTCCAGTTCCTGGTACTGTTGGCGAGTTTGTGGGAAAGTTCATGTAGAAAATTGGCCAAACTGACATAATTATGTCTAAAATTCCAGTAATGCTCCCACACATGGGTTCAGCCTGTATTAGAATATGTGTCAGTGCTTTTCATCAGTGCTGTTCAAAGCTTGTGTAAAGCATTACACTTATTATTGTACATGCAGCCGATGCATGTCACTCTGTGTGCTTGCTGCTTCCATATTGTATGTGTGTGTGTCTTTTGGTCAGGCTGCATAAAGACATCTGCCAAGCAGAGCTATGAATAATGAGTGGGAGCTGTCAGACATGGCATGCTGATCTAGACAGCTTAATCCTGCAGACATGACAAGCTGATGCTCCTTGTCCCGCGTTAATTCCCTCCTCCCTCGGAGTGACAGGAGTGTCTTCACTCTGACAAGAGACGCGGCCCACAAAACATTTCCGTTTACCATTTTCAGCACAGACGAGAGGCATAAAACACACAGCAGGATTTTTAAGATTTTCTTTTTGTCTTTGAAACAACTCAAAGCACTTACATCAGTAGGCAGTCCATTCATGCACATATTCTGTAATATATACACTGGTGGCAGAATATTCCTTACTAGGGGCCACCCACACAGGGCCCCTGACCTGTCCATTGTGGAAAAACATTATACATTCTAGGCCACAGCTGTTGTGTAACCCTGTCTTAAACGTCTGTGTGTATGCGTCTGTAAAATGAGTTAGTACTTTTAAGGAGTATGTGTGTGTGTATGTTGGTGTGTGTTGGTAGTGGTTTTCTGCTGTAATCTGCTGAATCTCCTCCTGGAGAGGCAGCATGTGACCCAAATCCTCCTCTCTTTCACAGTATGCTCCTCCATAATCCTCCTTCTCCCCAGAACTCCCTACTGTCCATCTAACTCCTTCACACACACACACACACACACACACACACACACACACACACACACACCACACACACACACACACACACACACACACACACACACACACACACACACACACACACACACACATACACACATACACACACACACACCTACACACACACACACACACACACACACACAACCTCTTTTCTTAACTCTTATTTATAGTTGCACGTAGGCATACATCATATTCTACACAGTTTTTTCTTTGCCATTTATTCTTATGTAGTGTTTGATTCTCTCTGCACTTTAATCAACAAAACCCTGTTTGGCATGGACTGTCTATTCCACTGTGTTGAGTTTCCTCCTTTATGTCAAACAAAAGCCACTGAAACTGATCTGATCATGGTACTGTTGGAGTTAATACATGTGGCATGGATAAAAAGAGCCCTATTATACTTTTGGGGTTTTTTTCTGTCCTGTAGTGGGTTATATAGGTTTTAGTGCAATCTGTCTGTTTGTATCACACACACAGAGGATTGATGATAAAGTTGACTTTGACTTTTAAATAACAACAGAGGCCGTAAGCTAACCAATCTGGCTAACACTGGCACGTTTACAGCAATGTTAATCAATGTGCACTGTCCGTTAAATAAAAAATCAGAGCAGACTGGGCTCTGGTTTCAGACAGAGGGTGAACGTATGAACCTGAAAAAAAGAGCATAATATGTCCTTTTTAAATGCAGAACTTTAAACCAGCCTGTTCTGATCTCATCGCTGCACACTTGTGCCTGTGCAGGGAGGGCTGCAGTAAGGAGAAACGTAAAGGTTACAGTGACTGGCTTCCGATTGGAGGGTTGACATTTTGAATTCCTTGGGGGAAGTGAACTGCTTTCAGAAGTTCTGATGGGTCAGGCGGGTTTTCAGGGTTTAACATAAGTCTAACTCTGCTCTGCTTTGGAATGAAAGCATGAACACAGGTTTCTATAAACCCTGAGCTTTACTATACAGTTCCTATAGAAATATGATAGGATTACTGTAATCCTGCACAAGATATCGTCAGACTCTTGTAGCTCGTCGACCATAAATTCTGCTTTTCTCAGACATACTCTTAGAGTGCTGGATCTTGCGCTGTCATGTGGAAAATCTCCCGCCGTGTCCATTTTTAAATCGAGTGGCCTGCCTGGCAAATATTTGATACAATGTCCTCTGGTTTAGAAGTGATGAGGATGGGACTTCCGGTATGGCGGCGCGCTAGACAGACGTGTTTCTTTCTCCTCCGCACAATCTTATTAATGCTGATATAAAACCAAACTAACTACTACGACAAAGCGAGCAATACATTTGCTAAGAATACCCTGATGCCTTCTACCTGTAAAATATCCGGTAAAGACCGCAAAAAAACCAGTCTAAAATTGATTTTGGCCCGTCCAAACAGGGTGAAGAAGCTACAGCTAATGCTAACGCTAACACAATGGCAGATGGGAATGTTGGGAACGCCGGAGATGAAGCAGCAAGTAACTTGCCAATTCTCGAAGCTATCAAAGACTTAAAAACAGACTTCTCCAACAGACAGGATGGAGTATTGGCTGCAATTGCTGGACTGAGGAAGGAGGTCGGAGAATGTATGGAACGTGTTAACAGTGCAGAGTTGCGCATTTCTGGCACCGAGGACACTATCGTCCACCTACAGGCTAAGGTACAGAGCCTCGAAAGTAAAAACAAAGAAATGGAGGACAAAGTTATCGACTTGGAAGCAAGGTCCAGAAGTTTTAACTTAAGGCTGGTAAATATGCCAGAGAAGGCGGAAGGAGACGACGCCTGCTTAATTCTGGAAAAGTGGATCCCGGAGGCCCTTGACATCTACTCGCCAAACTCCAAGCTAATCCTGATACGCGCACACAGAATTGGTCAGAGAAGCGATCCAAATGCTCCCCCGAGAACACTGATCATGACATTTCTGAATGACAGAGACAAGATGACGGTGCTGAAAGTGGTCAGAGCCAAAAAGCAACTACTCTACAAAGATAGGCCGGTCCAGTTCTACCCAGACCTGGCGGCCGGGATACACAAGAAGCAGAAGGAATTTGACGCCGTGAGGCAGAAACTTCGCTCCATGGGAATTCGATACGGCATGCTTCTTCCTGCCAAATTGCTGGTG